CTCTTAACTTTCTTGTTTGAGGCACTTAGTTCCCTTCTCTCACCCTTCTTTTCCTGATTGGGCTCCATCTGCCCTTTTGTATGTTATCTAGGGCAAGTTTAGATTTGTATGTTTACTGCTACATCTCGACTTCTTTGTCATAAAATATATTTTCTAGAATTGTAGTTAATACCATTCCACCCACCTATTTTCCCAACCCAGATTACCGGGAATCATTGTAAATGGCCCCCTCTCACGCCTTGACTAGATTTAGTCTCCAAGTTCTGTTAGGCTGGCCTAAATGTCTCTTGCATCTATTCCCTCTTCCCCATTGCTAGTGATGTTACTCTAGTCTGGGACACCACTCTCCCTCAGACCAAGTCCTCTAACCAACATCTGTGTCCACTTTTGCCCCTATCCAGATTATCCATCCTTCCCATTGCAGCCACAATGACAGTGATCTTTCTAGAACCCAAATTGATCATTTTTCCCATATACTGTCACTCCTTGGTAATGTAGTGGGCATGGCAGCCTGGGAAAATTCCTTGTACCAGTGAGTAATGTGGAAATGTTAGTTAAATCTAGGCTAAAGTCATACAAATGGCAGGGCTTCTCCAGCCCCTGGCTGCATGTTTATCATCTGGGCTTTCCTTCATTGTGGCGCCATGTTGTCTCTACACTTGCTCATCTTCCCCACTGGACTGTGGACTCTGGATCTTGCTCAGTTTTGTATGTGCAGCACAGTGCATGGTGCCTGGCACAGGGCAGGCATTCACAACTATATACTACAGAGACAACCCCTCTCCCTCCAAGTCAGTGCATCAGCTACCTATTGCCCTTGTAACATATTACCACAAGCTCAGTGGCTTAAAACAACACCCACTTGTCATCTGATGGATCTGTAGGTCAGAAGTTTGACACAGATCTTTTTGGGCTAAAACCAAGGTGTCAGCAGGCCTGCTTTCCCTGCTTCCCCTGGGGGCTCTAGGGAAGAACCCCTTTCCTTGCTTTTCCCAGCTCCTAGAGACCACCTTCCTCTATCTTCAAAGTCAGGATGGCATCTCTTTGACATTGCTTCTGTCGTCACATCTCTTTCTCTGAACATAGTCAGGAAAGCTTTGAGGGCCTGTGTAATTAGATTGGACCTCCTGGGTAATCTAGGAGTATCTCCCCATCTCAAAATCAGATGATTAGCAACCTTAATTTCATCTACAACTTGAATCCTTTTTGCCATGTAACCCAACAAAAAACATAGGATTCCAGGGATTGAGGCATGGACAACTTTTAGGGCCATTATTCTACCAACCATAAGCCACAATTGGGGAGGGACATGAATTCCATACAGAAGCCCCTTTCTGATGCTTTTCACACAATTGAAATAATTTTTACCTAATTGGCTGCAGTCACCTTTAGATCAAAACCATGACTTAGTCACCTCTGTGTCCCCAGTGCCTGACCCAGGGCACAGCCCATGTGAGGTGCTCAGTGTCTGTGACCAGAAGTAAGTAAAAGATTAGCTGGCTGGAATGTTTAAATATCAACCTCTTGGTCCTCCTTAAAAAATGGAACTTTGATTGTTTAGGTTTTAAGAACCGGTTTTAAAAAATGAATTTTGTAGCACAATCAGGGGGTCCAATTGCTGTTATCTTGCAATCTCACTCTAAATCAGCTCTAAGATTGAAAAAACAGGCATCTTCCATTATCTGACAGAAGTCGTCCAGGTTTTTCAAATGAAGAAAAACAGCTCTCATGCTTTTTGCCTAGTCCACTTGAGAACACAGCTGTATAGGAAATTCAAATGAACAAAAGAAAAAAGAATCATGCAATAAAGCCTCGTGACTCCCAAAGCAACCAAGAATGAATGCTTCACAAGTAATTTTTGTAGGATTAGTATTTAAACGCAGTGAACCACTTCAGTTCCAACAAATCTGGAGAAATTAAATCTTGTTTCCAAGAAGCGCCCACAGAGCCTTCAATGCATTTTTCAATCAGTGCAAAAGAAATAATATGCACAACTAAGCTGTGTCTCTAGTGGGTCCCAGTGCCCACCAGACAGCACCAGGTAGAAAATGCCCAGACTCTGTGTCCAGTTAGGACACCAAGGGCAGGACTCCAAGGCTGCAATTGCAGTATGGATGCATGGTAAAGGAGAAGGGAATTGGCCAGAAACTGTCAGGTCTCATGGAGTTCAGGCTCCAGCCCTGAAAGCTCCAGCTAAGCCAGTTCTCAGAGTTCAGTCTTTGCTATGGCAACCACTTGGGATACCTCCAGCTTGCTGAACTGGAGATTCTGAAGGAAAGCAGCACAGGGTAGAAGCATGGTCTGAAAAGAGTTTTCCATATTTTATTCATATAGCACCTCATCAGCAGGACTTTACAGAATACTCAACCTCAATTTCCAGAGACTTCTGAATTCTAGTGAAAATGCTTAAATTTACATCACTTCATCTGATCCCCTGAACAGGCCTGGCAGCAACTTGGGGCTGGAATCATAATCCAGTACCTACCACAGTGCTGGCACATGACAGTAGCTCAATAAATGTTTACTGAGTCAATGAGCTGTCATCATTTTATAAAGGAAGGAACAGGCTCAGAGAGGTTTCAGTGGCTTCCTAAACACCCCCAGTGGCAGACAGGGCTAGGACTCTGGCCCGTATCACTTCTATGCTACCATGTTGGCCTTTGAAATCCAACTCAGAAAAGATCAGGAGGACATTACACTACTTTTCAACATTCACTGAGTATGTGCCCTACACCAGATCTTTCCACCACTCTTCCCCTGTCCTCTGCCTGCCTGGCTCCTTTCAAGCCTTGGTTCTAGTGTTACCTTCTGAGAAAGACCCCCTGACAAGGCCTCACACACCTTGCCTTGCCCCCAACTCCCACACCCATTACCCTCTATCACATTTCCTACTTCTCACTTATCCAAATCTTTTTACTATTTTACATTTTTGTTTATTTATGGTTGGCCATCCCCAACTGGAATGTAAGCTCTATCAGGGCAGAGGGCCAGTCCACTCTCTGGTGACAGCCCACTGTGAGATGAGGGGGAAGGGGCCAATGAAACGGAAAGCAAATGTGGTCTTAGGCACATTCATAAAAATGTCTAGAACAATGGTCTTCTGGTGTGTCCAGAAGAAAGGAGGAGAATGGGGTTGTTAGCCTGGGGCTGGAGACTCAGGGAAGATATACCAGCTCTTCTTTTCAAAGTTCTAAAGGGTGCTTTCCAGAGGAGGGCGATGGAGTTTCCTGAGAGGTGCGGTGGGAGAAGGGTGAAGGGGAGGAAGTTTCGGGGCAGATTTGGGTTCCAAGTGCTTCTCATTGTGATTGTTGGGTACTACTTCCTGTTTCCCACACTAATACGCAAGTGCTATGAGGACAGCCCACATCTATTTACTCCTCACTATATGGATATAGCGCAGTACATGGCTTGTTGGTCACTCAGTACTAGATTGAATATTGTGTGAAAGATCGATTGCAGGTGGGGAGCTGTCACTGTTCAGGCTGCCTGGCATGTTCTTCTCCCTCATGCCCTTCATCTGGTTGACCCTTTGCTTACTCTTGAGGGCTAAGCTGAAATATCACTTGGTCAGGAAAACCCTCCCTCTTACCCTACCACCAGATCACAGTCCCCTCTCATGGCCTCCTGTGGTTTTCCATCCATAGCCTTATGGTTGTTATATTTGATGTTATTTGCTGATTATTTAAGATAGATACTCCCTTACCAGAAGGCAATTAATCTTCATCGCATGAATGATTTCTAACCACCAGAGACACTTGTTAGCGCCTCCAGTAGAATAGGCTCTGTGAGAGCAAGGCCTATTGTTTGGCACTGTGTTCCCTGTGTGTGGCACCAAGTAGGCACTCAACTATTCATTGAGTAGTAAATAGCTTAGACTTTGAAGACTGGAATGAGTTAGCTCTTTCACTTACTAGCAGTGTGACAACTTCTCTGAATATACTGTACCCTCATAGCATGATTAAGATTAAATTAATATGTAGATTTAAAAATACCTCATATTGCTCTGCTTGGTGTGGCTCAGTTGGTTGGAACATTGTCCTATAAACCAAAAGGTGGTGGGTTGGATCCCTGATCAGGGCGCATGCCTAGGTTGTGTGGGTAGGATCCTGGTCGGGGAATCTACAGAAGGCAACCAATCGATGTATGTCTCTCACATCAATGTTTCTCTCCCTCTCTAAAATCAGTAAGTGTATCTAAGAGGGGCTCAAAAAGGGGGAGCTGCTGTTGTTATCATTTCCAATTTATTTCAAGCCTCATACTTCATACTGCATTATGTGTGGGCTACTTCCTATCAAGGACTTTTTGATTACATCAAACCATCTATACTTTCCCCTCCTGACACTCCCGTATTGAGTCAGGTTAACAAACATACTTGCTGAAATCTAATGAGGAGTTTGATTTGTAAACAGGGGGTTAGTTAAGAGCCTACGGTGTGTAGGTCCACCTCCTGTGTCTCTTGCAGGACCATGAGCAAGGAAGCCAGAATGAATGGCAACAAGACACAATGATAGTGTGGCTGGTGGCACTACTAGACTAGACAAAGTTGCTGTCAGCAAACTCGAACCTACAAAACTTTTCATGTACAAAAAGAAAGACCTAGCTTTAATTTGAAAACAGGACTATTTGTGTGATCATGCTTTCAGCCAGACTTAGAACTGCCTCTGTACCTAACTGCATATAGAATTTACTCTCCCCATAGAATGGAACTGACTTTTCATGACATTATCCACTACTGAGCTAACAGGCTACAAATCAGTGCAACAGGATTCAACTGCTTTGAGTCATATTTCTTAAAGTGTCCAATTGTGACCATAAGCAAATACATCCAGCCTTGCACATAAGCACCAAAAGTTTACTGCCCCATGAAGTTACATTCTGTTAAGAGTCTGTTTGTTTCTTCTTTAAATATCTGTCTTCCTCCTTTCCTGCTACGTATACAGGTAGAAAAATAAATGAAGTCAGCATTCTTTACTTCTCACTAGAATAAACTGTGACTTAAATACAGTGAATGGTTATTTGCAAGGCTATAATTTTTTTAATGACAGATTTTCCTAAAAGAAACCAGTATAACATTTATCCAAGTACTCCAAGTGAAAACAAAAAAATACATAAAGATTAAAAGTCTATTACTATAACATCACATTGCCAAACACGAACAACTAAGATAAAATGCCAAGGAACCTTAAAAAATAACTTTAAAAGATGCAACGTTCAAGTCATTCAAACGTGTAGAGTTCACAAACAACAGAAAAACAAGTCCAAGAGCAGTTCTGCTTGTGCGTGATGGCAACTATGACTGTACTTCACGTGGGATCATTCAGGTGTCTGAACTCAACAGATGTATGAGCAGAATTTGTTGTTTCCTTCTTCGCTTGGAGATGCGCACACAGATTAGAGAAGAATCATCTAGATGCTGATGTTAGCACAGCAGGCTTGGTTCCCCTTTGAAAATGTACAAAGGCTGATTTAGTTGACTCAAGCATTATCAGTGTCTCTAAGAAAAAGTCTTAGGCATGCTGAAGCAGACGAGTTCCTGAATTTGTCATGCTAAGTATTTATAATCATTTTCATAAAGTGAGCTCACTAAGCTGACAGAATAAAAAAAGGTAGTTGTTAATTTCTTGTATACCCTTTTACAATGTGAATAACTTCATGGGTAAATGATGCTGAAGTTCAAAGCCCCTCAAGCATACACTATCAAGAAAATATTGGCTGTATGAAGAGGCACACATCATAGAAAATGCACACTTCACAGGGTTCCTGCATAGCAGGAAAGTTGCTATCACTACATAACAAATGGCCCTGCCAACAGTTAGAGCTGCCACTCGAGTGTACAACGGGAGAAGTCCCTTAAAATCTCAAGGAGTATTTACAACAGCACAGATACCTTTGGGAGAATAAATATAGTTGGCTTTCTTTTTGGAAAGATACTTTTCATTGGGAAAGTTGAACACTGTGTAAATAAATCAATTTTCAAACGGGGTAAAACATAAGGCAATGCCACTCAGACCTGAGGGGGGAAACCCACAAAAAAAATTTCTCTTTTCCTTTTGAAACATTAACAGGTCAGAATCAACATAAGAAAGTATCCCCTTTCCAAGTGTTCCATGAACCTTTGGGTCTTTTGGGCATCACAAAATAGCATCCACTTTCATACTATGAATATGAAATGGGAAATTATTATGTGTTCTTCCTTGAAAACTGTAAAAAACAAAAACACATGGCAACTTAGGTATTTCATATTAAAAAGCAACATAAAAATAAAGACAACTATGCCAGCATGCACAGAGGAGTCCCCGCCCTTACAATAAGCTCTCCAGAGCACTGAATTTCTCTTATGACCGACTTCGGTGTAGTGTGCAATGCTCATGGATTCATAAATTAACTTTTAACACCGACTACAGACTAACAAATGACAGTTAGAAACAGTAACTTCAAAATTTTTACATTTTGCTCCTGTTTGGCTGCTAAACAGCAGCGATTTAAATCCATATAAAAACTTCTGACCATAAAGCTTGCTATACAGATCAAGTACAGAATCAAAAAGTAAGCAGCAATTGAGTTTCTTATTCAAACGTATCTGGTATAGGGTATTTACATGTTTGGGAAGAGAGACCTCCAAACCACCATTCTCTTGACTCCCCTCTGACGCTCCGACCCCTCTCTGCCCACCCCAGCCCCTCCAAACCAAAATCAAGTGTCCTGAACTATAATACGCCTGTGCTTTGGCTAAGCTGGCTGGATGCGTCTCCTTCTACGGAATTGGTCTAGGAAAAAAAAAGTCTCGGAAGGCACTGGTGGCCTTCTTTTCCCAACAGCAGTGTACTGTAGTCAAGGAATCAGTTCTTTCATGGCAAGGGACAAAGGGCCCTGCATGTTATTCTCCAACTGAATGGGGCAGGATCAAAACCCATCAGCCTCTTGCACCACAACGGGCCACCAGAGAAAAAGGAAAGAAAAAGGTCAGGACAAAGGCAGCAGCAATCAACTTAAGTTTCCCAACAAAGGAACCTTTCCTCCCTGGGCTCCCCCAGAAAAAAACATTCCCTCTTTCTTCTCCCCTTCTCCTCCCACGGAACAAAACTAATTCACATCACAAAAACATGGTACTCTGGTTTAAGTGTCAGGTCAATATAAGAAAGAGTAAATCTGTCACTTTTTATATTTTAACTGAGACAGAAAGCTAACGGAACACACAACATCACTGTGAAAATAACTTTCTAAAACAAATCCAATCCACATAATGCAGCCAATAAAACATGAAAGAAGAGTTTGTTCACAATCTGCCTTGTACACAATAATTATATTCTTTCAATGCCATATAAATAGCATTTATATAGCTTAAACATTCAGACATGCACTGGGACTTTTTAGGTAGTACGAATTTCTTCACAATCACATGTGCAAATTTTACAAATCACTAAGTGAGTATTAGTAAGTTTAGTTTAGGCTGGACTGTGTCTTGTATTATCTAACAAATTTAATGGGGGTTCAGAATCATCCATAGGAAGAACCAGGCGTGTTCCCCGAATGACCAGTTCGTGGTCTCCAAATGCAAGCTCCCGATCCAAGGCATCTTCAGAACTGTTTCCCATAAATCTCCTCGGGGCACCGGATGTTGCTGATTCCGTGTTCACAGTAGAATCCCCATAGGTCAAACTAATATCACCATCATTGAGAATAAGATCGGAGTCATCATCTTTCAATTGTTCCTGGTTCTAAAAGCAAATAAAATAAGTTTTAGGAATTGTGAAATTCAAGAAGTATTTCCAACAGTAGAATTTTCAAGTACTACCTGTTTAAACCTCTCAGGGGTAGCCCACTACCCTTAGGATTGAAGTCTAAAGTCCTCAACCTTGGCCTAAAAGACACTGCTGACTTGGGCCTTCAGCTTCATCTCCCACCACAGTCTCGTCCCCCAACCCCAACAGCCCCACTGTGTGCCTGCTAGACTGAACTGCTGACAGCTGCTTAAATCTCTCAAGCTCTCTCTTACCTCCTGTGCCTTCTGGCCTCCTTCATGGGATGAGCACCTAGTTATCACTGAGGTCTCAGCTTAAAGTCACTTGCTCCCAGGAGTCATCCTCGATCTTCCAAGGCTGGCTGAGGTGTCCCTCCTGTGTTCTCTCCTAGTGGCCCATACTTAGCCCTCTCCCAAGAGCAGCGCTTGCCCTTGTATCGGAACTACATGGACACCAGTCTTTTTCGGACTAGCCCCCACTAGACTAAGTCCTTTCTGTGCTCTAGTCCAGCAACCTAACAGTTTGAGGCACAGAAAAGAATTCACTACACATAAGTTCAATTGATTATTGAATAGGTTTATATAAATGAAGCATTTACTGCTGTATTAACAATGCCTAGAAATATAATACTGCTCGAATATACTGAACCCTTACTACATACTTGTCTCCCAGCTTGATAAATGTTGATCCTAATGGATCCTTTGTGGCCCAAAGAATATAATTAAATAAAGTTCTACAAGAGGAAAAAAGGTCAAGAAAATATAGTGCCATTTTGGTAAAAAATGTATGTGTGCATAGTAAAGTCTGGAAAGGCATTCAACAAAATAATGGCAGTCCTCTGCATAAAAGGGTTGCTTGTACTTTTTATTTTCTTCTTTGTGTTTCTGTACTAACTCAACTTTTACTATAATGAACACATATCACTTTTTTTAATTTATTGATTTTAGAAAGACAGAGAAGCACTGATTTGTTCTACTTATTTATGCACTCATTGATTGATTCTTGTATGTACCCTGACCAGGGATCGAACTCGCAACCTTGGTAAATTGGGACGACACTCTAACCAACTGAGTGAGCTACCTGGCCAGGGCTGAACACATATTACTTTTAAAAATAATAAAGTCATTTTTTAACGTAAAGAGTAAGAATCATTCTAACCACTCATATTGATCAAGCAAAAAAGTATGTGACTCATATTCCTTGAGGGAAGTAGAGCTGATACAAACATTCTGCATCTAGCTCTCCAATAGTATGTGTGCCTGAAAATTTTAAATTTGTGTAAGATAGTCAAATAGACTGAGGAGACTACTAGACAAAATAAAATCAATTTAATTTGCTGTTGTTAGAAATTTGCCTAAATACTCACAGACACATGAATTAAAAACCAAACCCATAACCATCAACCAGCCATAATTCCTTCTTGCCCAAACTAGTTAAAACACTAAATCTAACTAGTATTTATCACCTAATTAAATGCAGCAATACTCAGGACAGTTCTGTGGTACCTTCAAATGTCAGCAGGGGCTCTTCAGCACGTTCTAATGTCTTTGTTCAGTCTGAAGTTTGGGAGAGTGTCTATCAAATTTTAAAATGCATATACGCCTCCTGACCCCACAATTTAACATTTAAAATCTATTCTGTGTACCTTTATATACTTGGATAAGTTTATATGCACAAGGATATTCATCATAAACACTGCTTGTAATAAAAAAAAAGGAAACAACTTAAAGGTCTATCCATAGGAGACTGATTAAACCAATCATGGTGTACCCACACAAAGGAGCACTGCTACGCAGCCACGAATAAAGAGAAGGTAAAGGATCTCATGTACTCATAGAAATGAGTCTATGATGTATCATTAAGTAAAAAAAAAGCAAGTAGCAGGACAATACACTGATTATGATCTTATTTGTGTAAAACAATAACAAACAGCTATACAAGGGGGGACCCAAAAAAACCCACCAGACTTATCTGCTGGAGGGTGGGCCCCTTGTAGTACAGGCTTCCCCTACTAGGTGAGTGTTCTAGGAGCCCATCTGTATCAGTGCACCAGCTGCTGTTTTTGCAAGAGGCTGCATTCAGCTTCAGTGAATTTTTTGGAGGCTTTTTCAACATGTTTGCCCATTTCATGACAGGTGACTTAATGAGCCCACCTGCCCACATTGCGCTGGGTGTTCAGCAGTTTTTGACCAAAACCAGCATGACCCCCATGCCCCACCCTCCCCTATTTACCCAATCTCACCCCAAGTGACTTGTTTTTGTTTCCCCACATGAAGAAAGTCCTTAAAGGGAAACATGTTGCTGATGTGGAAGAGGCCAAACAACAACAAAAAACCCAGCAGAGGCGCTAAAAGGCATCAAGATTGACAAGTTCAAAAAGTGTTTTGAGCAGTGGAAAACATCTCAATAGATGTATTGCATCAAATGGAGAATACGTGGAAGGTGACTGAAGTTTAAACACGTAAGAATAAATACACAATTTTTTATAAATAAATTCAGGGTTTCTTTGGGTCCCCCCTCATATATACACAAAAAAGTTTGTGAAGGTAAAATATATTAAGAATTATCCACAATAAACCCTTAATAAAGACCGCCTCTGAGGGATGTAGGTGGGAGAAGGAAGACAACTTTTATTACTCACTTTGTACATTCTATACTGTTTGAATATATGGCCACAGCATATTATTTTTATAACTAAAAAGAGTAGGTGTTCCTATAAAAAAGGGAAATTAGGACACACCACACAGAGACAGATGGAAAGAGACAAAGAAAGAGACAGAGGGAGAGGGAGAGACGTAGAGGGAGAGGGAGAAGAAGACAGAGATCTGTGTGATGCATCTCTAAGCCAAGGAATGCCAAAGCTTGGCAGCAAACTACCGCAACCCAGGAGGGAGGCATGGAACAGATTCTCCCTCGCAGCCCTCAGGGAACCAACCTTGCCAACACCTTTACCTCAGATTTCTAGCCTCCAGATTGTGAGACAAAAAAATTCTGTTGTTAAACCATTCTGTTGTGCTGTTATGTTATAGCAGCACTTAGAAAACTACTGCAATGTTATATTTTGGTTAATTCTACAACACACATACTCCTCGTGGAATGCTTGGCTTTTGGTGATGGTCGAGTGGGTCTCAAATCCAAGAGCTGAGCTTCACTGACTTATCAACAGAGTTGGCTTACCCCCCCTGCACAGAGCCACATGGGCTAACAGGGCACAAAGGGAGTGAAGACTGTTTTTGAGAGAGGGACTTGGGAAATGTGTGAGGGAGAGAAGCGATGACATGGGGTGTCCTCCCACTCACCCCACCCACCAGCACAATCTGTCAGAAATGTGCATGACTTAATTTAACACAAAGCTGGAAGGTACTCCTCCCTGACCCAGGTGCCACCCCCCACTGAGTCTACTCTTCCCCATCCATTCTCTGTGGGGCCTGGGCTAACACATCACAGAGAAGGGTGTGGGAAACTGGGGGAGTGCATGTCCGCACTGCTTCACCACAGCCTCACTTCTCCACTCAGGATGTTGCATCAGAGTAGTCAAAACTAGTGGGTTTTGTTAAAATGGGCATTTTATTTGATACTACAGATTGTTTCTGAAGGGTTGGGTTAGAAGCAAAAGTGTTTTAGAAAGGACTTGAAAATGTTCACATTTTAAAATAAAAGCCAGTCAGCATTTTCCATTTCTTTCTTTGTTGCAATACTTGCCAAATCACCAATCATATGTTGGTAGCTAGGAAAAATATGGCATTATTTAAATATGCTCACACTTTCCAGCAATGTGGAACAGAGTTAGTAAAAGCTTTCCTAATATCCAAAAGATAGTAAGTATGAAGTAAAAGACCATCTGTTGCACTTTAGGGACATCAAAAATTGTTTTATTAATCCTCTGAATATGTGACAACCTGAATTTTTATTTAAAACACACACACGCACACGCACACACACACACACACACACACACACACACACACACAGTACCAAGCTCAGGCTACATACTGCAACTAAATGAAAACCAGCATAGAAATAGATTTACCAAAATCATCAACAGTAAACAGGTACTATTCTAGATCTGTTTTCAAAAGTTTCAAAGGCTGCAAATTATATTTACAGATTTCCGTTCATTTTCTGGCTAAGCAAAATAGGCTTATATTCCCTTTCATGGATTTCATACCTTAAAGACAAGCACAATAAAACAAAACCAGTAACTCAACTACAGAGCAGATAAATTTAACTTAATAAATAACTTAGGTTTCGTGTATAACCCACTTACCTCGTAAGCCTGGGGGCTGGTGAGGCATCTTGCGATAGGTCCACAGCAGGCAGGGAGCGTTGTCGTGAGGGGAGGCCCACTGTGTGTCAGCAGAGGCTTCAGATAGCTGTGCTGGTTAAGGAAGAGCTGCATTCCTTTCTTCACAAATTTAAAAGAGTAACTCATCTGATAACAACCACCTACACACAGCAACAACCCTTTCAGAGGTCAGCGAAGGACTCTCACATGTTGTCTCATTTCATCATCACATTATGTCAGTGAGATAGCAAAGGGGGATTTTATAATTATTTCCACTTCACAGATATGGAAACTGAGGCTCAGAGAGGCCCAGGATCTGCCTAAAGTCACACAATTAAGTAAATGAAGCAGCAATACTCAACCCCAAATTGGTCTGATTCCAAATCCTGGCCTTTTTTACCACATCATATTGCCTTTCTGATTTTACTAAAAGTGAAAGGAAGACAAAAATCACTCTCAAATTAGCACTGAAGGTGATACAAAGAAAGTAAAATATGGTTACAGTTCAAAAAGAGATGAAATATTCTAGTAGTAGAATATAGTCATAAAAATGGTTTGAATCATTTATTGTAGATTCAGCTGGCCTCTTGAGTGAGTTCAAACTTTGGTATCAAAGGAAATTCAATTCTAAAAACATTTGTTTAAAATTATGTATCACAAGTTCTTCTACCATAGACCCTCATTTCACTATTTATTTATTGTCCAAAAAATAAAAACAAAAACAGACATGATACTATACAGGGGTAGGCAAAAGTAGGTTTACAGTTGTGAGTACATGAAATAGTTTATTCCTGTATTATTATTTATTAATTATTGTACTATTTATTTGTATTAAACTGTAAACCTACTTTTGCCCACCCCCATATATGATACTCAGAAGGAATAAAAACAAGAAATCACATGAAAAAGTAGGGAAAGGGAGAAAGACACAATTCCCTACTTTCTAAAATTATAGCTTCAGGTTGTTCTCAATTAAACATGAGGAAGTCAGAGAAAATGTTATGAATTCCTATATTTATGAACTCCAAGTAAAGGTTAAAGTACTCTATATAAATACACTATGTACTTTATAAAACAACTGCCTACACAAAATCACTGAAAACCTGGAATAATGGATTCTACTAATGCACTAAGTACAGAAATTACCAGGTCTTAGTCTAGTGGTACTTAATAGGGTAGTATTGAAGCTAACAAGTCTTGGTGTTTAACTCTATAAAAATAAATTCCTTAAAAACCAAAATTTATCAAACATTGACAAAAGAAAATCTGAATAGTCCTGTATCTATTAAAGAGGTTTAAAACCTTCTTATGCAAAACTCTTGAGGCCCAGGCGTCTTTACTGGTAAAATCTTCCTAGCACCTAGGGAAGAAATAACACCAATTCTCCAGAAAACAGGAAAATAGAAAAATTCTCCCATACTCATTTTATAAAGCCAGCATAATCTTATTGCAGAAACTTGACATTAGAAGAAAAAATTCACAAGGCGATATTTCTCATGAAAACAGACACAAAGCCCTGGCTGGTGTAGCTCAGTGGATTGAGCGTGGGCTGTGAACCAAAGGGTCACTGGTTGGATTCCCAGTCAGGGCACATGCCTGGGTTGTGGGCCAGATCCCCAATAGGGAGCAAAGAGAGGCAACTACACATTGATGTTTCTCTTCTTCTCTTTCTCCTTCCATTCCACTCTCTCTAAAAATAAATACAATCTTTAAAAAAGAAGAAAAAAAATAGACACAAAACATTAGCAAATTAAATCCAATGACAGACACAAAGCATAGCATGACCAAGTGAGGTTTGTTCTAACAACATAAGATTGGTTTAATATTCAAATAATCAGTGAAAATCAGCACAATAACAGATTATGGGAGAATAAAGTAAATACACAATCATCTCAATTGATGCACAAAAAAATTTGATAAAATCCAATACATGTTCATGAGAAAAAAAAAATCTCTCAGCAGATAGAAATAGAGGGAATATTCCTTTTTTAAAGATTTTTTGTTTATTTATAGACATAGGGGAAGGGAGGGAGAGAAACATCAATGTGTGGTTGCTTCTCATGTGCCCCCCACTGGGGACCTGGCCTGCAACCCAGGCATGTGCTATGACTGGGAATCGAACCAGCGACCCTTTGGTTCTCAGGCCAGTGCTCAATCCACTGAACCGCACCAGCCAGGGCAAGGGAATATTGTTAAATTGAAAAGGTTATTTTAAAAACCTACAGCTAACATCAAAGTTAATAATAAAGTATTGAAAAATTTTCCCCCAAGGCCAGGAATAAGACAAAACTGTCTACCATCATCACTTACATTCAACATCGTACTGGAGATCCAGCTAGTATAATAAAACATAAAAAAATACAAGGCATTGAAAAAGAAAAAAAAAACATCATTATTTACTTGTGTGTATGTACAGAAAATCAAAAAGAATCTACAATTATAAATAATAAATGAACTTAACCAGAGTGCTGGATACAAGGTCAATACCTAAAAATCAAATTGTATACCTAAAATACAACAAACAAGTAGAAAATAAAATAAAGACCATTTGCAATAGCATCAAAAATATCAAAACATCGGGATAAATCTAAGGAAGACATGTAAAACCTGTTACTGAAAACTATAAAACACTAATAAGGGAAATTAAAGCTCTAAATAAATAAAGGTTTATGGATTAGAAGACTCAATAAGATGTCAGTTCTCTCCAAATTAATTCATAGATTTAATACGAACCCTATAAAATTGACAGTGTGCATTTTTTGTGAGTGTGTGTATGAAAATCATAAGTGGCTTCTAAAATTTAGACAAAAAACACAACAGACCTAAAATAGCCAAGGCAATACTAAATAATAATAAACCTAGAGGATGTCCTCTCTTGGACAACAAGACTTGTATCAAGTATAATAAGAGAGTTTGTTAAGAATAATCTAACAATAGCCAGAGGGGAGTGGGGAGGGGACACCGGGGAGAAGGGTTTTCAGGAACTACTATAAAGGACACATGGACAAAACCAAGGGGGAGGGTGGAAGCAAGGGAGGAAGGTGGGTTTGGATGGGGTGGGGGGTGTGGTGGGGAGAAAATACAGACAACTGTAATTGAACAACAATAAAATAATTTAAATTAAAAAATCAAAGCAGAGAAAAAGTAATTTTAAAAAATAAAATTAACTTAAAAAAAAAGAGTGTGGCATTGACATAAAAATAGACAAAAAAAAAAAACAAAAAAAAAAACAGAAACAGACCCTCCCAGTTACATGGCCCAGTGATTTACAACAAAGGCTCCACTGAAATTCAGTGGATTAAAGATGGTATTTTCAATAAATACAGGGTACGGGGTAAATTGAACAACCACATAGAAAAAAAGTAAGCCCTGACCATACCTCACACCATAAGCAAATTCAAATGTGATAGCAAAAGCAATCATACTTTTAGAAGAAAACAACAAAATATCTTCATGAACTTGGGATATAAAAGATTTCTTCAGATACAAAAAGCATTAACCATAAAAGATTGATAAAATAAACCTCATTAAAATGAGGAATTTCTGTCTCAAAAGAGAGGATTAAGAACATGAAAAGGTGAGCTACATATTGGGAGATATTCACAGTACACATAACTTAACAGGGATCCCAATTCAGGAATATAGAAAGAACTTCAAATCAGTTAAACAAGACAACTCACATAATAGGCAAAAGAACTGAGCACATATGCTTCATAAAAGAGGGTATCAAAATGACCAATATGAAAGGACACTTGATTTCACTGGGTTATCAGAGAAATGCAAACTAAACTACATGAAATATCAATGCACACCTATTGAAATGGCTAAAAATGAAAAGGCTGGCAAATACCAGGTGTTAATGGAGATGTGGGACAATTGGAAGTCCCTTAACTTGCTGGCGGGGGTGTAAATCAGTTACAACTACTGTAAAAAACTGGTTGGCAATATCTATTAAAGCTAAACATTTAACTGTTTTATATTTTATGCAGAAAATGTATAGAACATTTTATGCAGGAGACACTAAACAATGTTTTGTTACATGAGAGGAAAGAAAATGTCCCAAGAGATGTGAAAGTGGCTTATACCCAAAGTGCTAATAATGGAGTCAAAACTAATGATATAATCAATAAATAATTTGAAAGAGCCAGGATCTCTCTCCCTAATGAGAGTGTTAATACCATAGATATGCAGGCATTCTTGTTTCCACACAGTAATTTAATTTTGAGTATTGTGAAAAGTGAACATAAAAATCTAGCCAACAGAATATAGTAAGTAGTAGATTCTAATAATGTGTCAAATGCATTCTTAAATATGCAAGGCTTTGATTAGAAAAGCAAAAGCAAAGAAAAATATTAAATATAGTGTACTGATTATGCTATTACAGTTGTCCTAATTCTCTCCCTTTGTCCCCCTCTACTCGGTACCCCTTCCCTCCAGTAATTCCCCCCTCTTAGTTCATGCCTATGGCTTGTGCATATAAGTTCTTTGGCTTCTCTATTTCCTATACTGTTCTTAACCTCCCCCTATCTACTTTGTACCAGCAAATCATGCTTGTTAATCCCTGCACCTTTTCCCCCATTCTCTCCCTTCCCCCTCCCAGCTGATAGCCTTCTGAATGACCTCCATACCTATGATTCTGTTCCTGTGCTGGATGTTTGCTTAGTTGTTTTTGTTTTTTTTTTTTAAAGATTCAGTTGTTGATAGTTGTGAATTTGTTCCCTTTTTAATGTTCATAGTTTTGATCTTCTTTTTCTTACATTAAGTCCCTTTAATGGCTTGGTGAGGATGAACTCCTTCAGCTTTACCTTTTCTGGGAAGCACTTTATCTGCCCTTCCATTCTAATGATAGCTTTGCTGGGTAGAGTAATCTTGGATGTGGGTCCTTGCCTTTCATCACATGCAATACTTCTTTCCAGCCCCTTCTAACCTGCAAAATTTCTTTTGAGAAATCAGCTGGTAGTCTTATGAATACTCCTTTGTAGGTAACTCTGCTTTTCTCTTGCTTCTTTTAAGATTCTCTCTTTATCTTCAACCTTAGCATTTTAATTGTGATGTGTATTGGTGTGGTCCTCTTTGGGTCCAACTTGTTTGGGACTCTCCGTGCTTCCTAGACTTGCATGTCCATTTTCTTCACCAAATTAGGGAAGCTTTGTTTCATTATTTTCTCAAATAAGTTTTCAATTTCTTGCTCTTCCTCTTCTGGCATCCCTATGACAGGAATGTTGGTACTTTCAAAGATATCCCAGAGTCTTCTTATACTATCCTCGTTTTTTTTAAACTCTTGTTTCTTCTTTCTGTTCCGGTTGAGTATTTATTTCTTCCTCATGTTCCAAGTTGTTGATTTGAATCCCAGCTTCCTTCCCTTTACTGTTGGTTACCTGTAGATTTTCTTTATTTCACTTAGTGTAACCTTTTCTTTCTTTATGCTGTTGCCATACCCAATGAGTTCTTTGAGTATCCTGATCACCAGTGTTTTGAACTCTGCATCTGATAGGTTGGCTATCTCAGTTTCATTCAGTTCTTTTTCTGGGGTTTTGTTCTGTTCTTTCATTTGGGCCATATTTCTTTGTCTCCTCAATTTGGCACCCTCCCTGTGTTTGTTTCTATGTATTAGGTAGAGCTGCTCTGACTCCCTATAAAAGGCACCTTTAAATTGTGTGGGGTGGAGCCTTAGGTAATTCAGAGTGGGGCAACCTACACTTCACCACTTTGTGGCTCTGTGCGTGGGGGGCTCCAATAGGAGACTGTGCCACTGGTGGGCTTCTGGGGGTTTGCTCGCACTCACCCCATTTCCAGTCACTTCACCCACTCCCTGTATACAACTGGCATCCATCCTGCTGTTGCCCTGAATACCAGAGTGGGTAGGTTTGCATATGTTCTAAGACCATGTGGGCCCTTTAAGTGGAATTTCCTGAAAATCTGGCAGTTTCTGCTGCTGCCCTAACCCCCAATGGTTTTTACAGCCAAAAGTTATGGGGATTTATGTTCCTGGTACTGGAACCCTGCACTGTGCACTCTGGCCTGGGGCTAGGATCGCTTGCTCCAAAGGTATCCCTTCTGACTTTTATTCACCACACATGAATGTGGGACCACCCATGCCGTTCCGCCTCCGCCACTGCCTCTCCACGCCACACGGTGTCTCCTTGCCTCTCTGCCCCATCTCTACCCCTCCTAACTTCAGGGGTGAATGTGGCCTCTTTAAATCCTTGGTTGTTGGCTTCCATAGAATTTGATTTTCTGACGGTTCTGGTTGTCATTTGTTTTGAGATTTAGTTATAATTCTTTTTGTGGTTGCATGAGGAGGCGAAGCGTGTCTACCTACATCTCCATCTTGACTGGATGTCTTGAAAAAAAATTCTATGTAGTTGTCCCTAATTTCCTTCAATGGAACAAAAACCAGGTTTTGATTCATTTACTGGTAAGTCTCAGCCTGGAAGAACTCCATGGTCCCTTTTCATAGTTCAATTTTCAAATAAATTAATTTTAATAGTGAAAAATGTTTTTTTTTTTAAGATTTTGTTTATTTCTAGAGAGGGGAAGGGAGGGAGAAAGAGAGGGAGAGAAACATCAATGTGTGGTTGCCTCTCACGTGGCCCCCACTGGGGATGTGGCCCGCAACCCAGGCATGTGCCCTGACTGGGAATCGAACCTGCAATGCTTTGGTTTGCAGCCTGCGCTCAATCCCCTGAGCTATGCCAGCCAGGGCGAAAAAATGTTTTTAAAGGCATTATCTAAAGAGGTTATAGACTGCAACATGACCCAAAACATAGCTATGAAGACAACTGTTATAATAGGACATGAAAAAAACCTGGCAAACAATGAAACACTGGCATTCTGAACAGAGGAGAGAATCTGCTAGTCTTTGGAAAGGTCAGAGAAAAAAGGCGTATCACTGACTACTGTGGTATCTAACATTACTGTGTTTTTAATCTTATTCTCATGCTTTTTCCTAAGGCAACCTTTCTTCTTTTGTTATAGGAAGCACACCGACAAGAACCAACAAATACGCTCTTCATGATTCACTAAATTAGCTAAAGGACAAGAAATATTAAAGTTTGCTCAATAAATAAACCTACATATCAAAAGAAATCAATCATAAGCACTGCTGAGCTTTCATATGCCAGCTTCTGCAATAACCAGTCACTACTGGTTTCATGGGTTTTCAAAAGAATTCATTTGGGTGGGTTTCCTTTAATAACCTTCTCTACTACACTGAAGGGGAAAGGGAATATCAAAGGGCTTATGTTCTGCTTCAGAAAGAGAATGGTCAAAACAGTTGTTCCATTAAATTGTAATTGTCTATGTCCATACTACCATTTTTTCTCAATTAAGGATACTTATGATCAAAGTTGTACCATATCCGGAAGAGCCAGGCACTCTCTGCTTTGGTAGTTCTTCTTTCATTTTCAGGAATACCCTGCAAACAAATAACAAAGAAATGAGTATATACACAAAGATAAAAACACATTTATTTAGAGTCATTTCTTGACAGTATCAGAAGTATAGATAATTATTGATGAGATATCCTCCAACATTAGAAATTTTCAAAATTGCTACTATGTTTTTAGAACACTAGAAAAATGAAAGTAAGTAGGGAAATTCCATAGTCAATCTGACTGGCTAGGAGGAAAAAAGTAACACAGCGAGTAGGCCTCTTTGAAAATAGCTTCCAGAAACATAAGTAGGGTCCTTATTTATAATTTAGCACAGTTGGTATTGGGGCACTTAGGTGGTCTGGTTCATGTCTTCTCTGTCATGAACTAGCTGGGCAAGTCCCCTTCTCTCTGCGAATCTGAGTATCTTCATGCATGCAACGTGAGTGTCAGAGAATATCAAAGGCCCTTTCTAGTATGAGTGCTCTATGGTTCCATGATTTTGGAAGAGCACAGAGTTTATATTCTGAGTTTTGGTTCTTTCCTCATCCTGTAAATAAATGAATCTTCCTTTCAATATGTATACACAATATAAAAATGTTTGAAAACACTGCATGGGCTTACAAGAGCAGAAAAACACATATTTCCTTTTACATCAGTAAGCGTAGGTTTTTGTGTCTCACTTTTTGAAGAGCAATTAATCTATAAATTTCACAATCACCTCACCACAGAAACACCCAGACACCCAACCTGCCCCCCTGAACTCCATGCTTACTATACTGTTTCTCTTTGCTTCTCAGTGGACGCTCACAATATGAAGTAAACAATATAACAAACTAAGGCACCCAAAGGGTTTTGAAGGTAAGGGGAATATGCTATTTTTTTTCTGTATGTCACAGGTGGTACTCACCAACCTGGGTCTCTCCCTGTCACTCCATTTCCATTTCTCCTCTGTGATGACAGAGGTAACAAAGCAGGTGGAGACTTATGAAATTAATGATCAAGCATTTGTCTGCTAAGCTGTACAATAACTTTATTCTTGTTTGGACACAGGGTGGAAGCATTAAGGAGCTATTACCCCCTTAGAAACTACCCAAGAAGCTCAGCATCATGGAAATTTATCCAGCCTGGTTTGCTCAGGTATTTCAAGTCCATGGAATGATACTTTAAGGTTCTTATGAAAAAAGAGGCAAGAATTTACTATATCACATATACACTCATCACTCAACAGCTAACAAAATTAGCAGTCAGGAAATGAATCTGATGAATGTTTTTTTTTCTGAACCACACCCTGAAGACAAATAGACTAGGGCCTGTTTCAGACAAGAAAAAGAATTGTGTTTTGAAAGAGATATTTCCCATCTTTAAAAATATTTCTCTGATTTCCCATCTAACATCCAGGACATAGTCACATATTCAAGCAGTGCTCAGAAACCATTAAAAAGTGGATGGAAAATGCCTGAAAAGAGTGGTTAGTCTCAAGAAGGCACTGAGTTACACTGCACTCAGTTACTGGGTTCAGGTGCAGAGGAACAACTGAGAAAGTAACACATGGAGGCAGGCAGGGAAAGGTGGGCAAGGCTGAGGTGTGGGGTAAGAAAGTGCTTTCTCCTGAGCAGGCAGGGAAGACTGGCTGAAGATTCCAAAGCTTCTAGGCAGTTCTCAAGGGCAGCTGCTGGTCATCCAATTTGAAAGTTACACAGGAAGAGCAGCTGGAAGGCTTACATCAGAGACAAGCCTTCATGCGTAAACCAAAGTGGAAAAAGGCTCTCTGTGCCCAGAGAAGTCACTTGAAAACTCAGGAGTGCTTATGGGACTACTCTTCTCTGCAGCCAAAGCCCAGGTTGGCCCACGGACATGAGAGCTGTCATCCTTGATAACCACATGCTGTTTAAAATTCAGTTGTTTCTGTTGCAGAGTAAGAAAAGCCAGGAATAATGCCAGTTAAAAACTGATGCAAATAAGACAGGATCTAAATAATGGTGGCCTGAAGTCTACAGCAGATTGTTTTCTTTCCAAACAACTGTACATTTGACAGAAATGCCAGGGACAACACAAATACATATTTACCAAATGCTCTTGGTCTGAATCAACACCAACCCTAAAGGAGAAACACAAAAGGCAAATGAGATCTTGAAGCCAAAAAAAAAAAAAGTCTATTCACATATGTATATTGTCAGGCAACTATTTTTTTCAACACAGAAACTATGGAATGGTTAATGTGTTTTTGCTTCTCTCTGGTTGTTGATTTAAATTTTTGGCTCCTGCCACTTTCCTTAGCAACAACTTGGATCTTTAGGCGAGCAGCATCTACTACTGATTCTCTTCCTGCAATCCCACTTACCAGTTTCAGAAAAATAACACTTCCTTCTCTCAATGTAAGTTCATTATAAGCAGAGTCAGGAAAAGCAGCATTATCCCCGTTACTGACAAAGAACTACTGGGTAATTCCAAAACCAAGGCCGGCACAATGCAGTTCCAGGAGGGAGTTCGTGTTTTCGGACCTCTCAGCTCTCATGGTAACATTCTGTTGTGATGGCTGAAGAGAGGATCCAATTATAGTTTTTTTTCCCCCATAGGCTAATGGATAGACATTAGCCCTGGTTCTTGATAATTCTTTTTCATCTGCTCAGAATTACTTCTTTCCATATCCCAGGGAACACCTTCACTATGAAGAAGTTCTCTTTGACTCCCCTCTATCTCCTCAACACCAGCAGCACTCACCAACTCTGTTCGTTCTTTCTGAACTGTCTCTCAGATCCTATCTCCTTTCCATTCCAATTGCTCACACTCAGGCCTCGTTCTGGCTCATGGGGTCTCTAGCAACTGGATGTAAAGTTTTCCAGCTGCAAGCTCTTTAGATTTTGCTGTCTAAAGCATAGAGCTCACTGGGTGATTCCCTTGACAAAAGACTCAGTGAGCGCTTACAACGCAGAGGGTCAAGTGTAGAGTCCTTTGTGTGCCATTCAGGATTCTCTACAAATTAGCACCCCGCCACTCCAGCCTACCTTTCCCTTTATTCTATTCTATATACTCTCTATTAGCCACACCTGTCTATTCCTCTCCTAAATCCCCGACTCTCGCCTTCATGCCTTTGCTCATGCTATTCCTTCTATCTGAAATGCACTATCCCTCATTTTTTCTACTCCTTTTTTGAGTCCCAAATGAACCATTCCATGACCCCCCTCAGGCAGAATCATTTTTCCTTTGTGCTCTTACAGCATTTTCTAGATTCTTCTGTAACACTGAGCAGAGTATAGTTATTTACCTGTCAGTCTCTCCAAATAGACCGTGCACATTTTGAGGGCAAAGGCCACGTCTCAATTCTTTCCTGTATCCCCAGGGTCTAGCACAGTACCTGACACACAATAGGTGCTCAAATGTTTACCAATTAAGGTCACTGCTATAGGCAACAAAGAAAAAGTAGCACTGTGAGAAGCTGTAGCAGTAGCGACGCAGAATACCAATAACACTGAAGGAAGGAAAATGATACAAGCTCTCATCTAAAAGGCAACTGAATTATGGTCAAGTATTTGAAATCAGATAAGTATGACCAGATTTATAATTCCAAGAAAGGTTTGTTTCCTCTTTGTTAAAATGGCCAGAAGCTGTTCTGTATCTTCTTAGCCATACTGAGTTCTAACCACATTTGTGCATCTACAGTGACACCTAGTGGTCTGAGGGAGAGCCCATTTATAATGGAACACTATTGGAAGCCAATTCAATGTAATAAACTTTTAGAGAGCACTTACTATCTGTCTGGCATTGAGCTAGGCACAGGGCAGAGCAATGAATTAGACATGGCTCCTGCCATCAAGGAGCTCAGAGACTGGTGGGAGAAACAGTCACAACGAGAGCATAATCCCCAGGGGCATTGCAATCAGAGCGAGCTGGGTTCAGTCTGGCCTCAGCTCCTTTCTAGCTGTGTGAACTTGGTCAACTTATGTAGCCCAATAAACTGTGATTTTTAGCACCTGGAAAATGGGGCCAATGTCCATCAGACAGAGTTGCTGCAAGGATGAAATAAGAAAAATGTATCTCAAAATTTTAAAAGAGTGTCTAGTACATCATTGACATGAAGCGGTAGCTCTTACAACAATTTTATTATCACAAGGCTAATTGAATCAATGCTGTAATAAGGATACCCAATGTTATGCACATGGAAGAGTGGTTCCCATACAAAAGAAGAGGGCAGAAAGGAGGAGGCACTTGAGCTGTGTCATTTCTTGGGGGTGAAAGAAAATTCCAGGCAGAGGAACAATAGGAGCAAATGCTTAAAGGCAGAGAAGTGCAAAATATGTGTGGTAAATGACAGGGAGCCAAATGTGACTGTCATAAACTATGAAAGGGTGTAGGAATAGCTAAATGGCTGGCTCTAAGTCACTGAGGATCCATTGTCCCCACAACAGCTGGAGTGATCCTACAAAATAATCATGTCACTCCTTTGCTTTAAAATCTTACAAAATTTCCAACTGGATTTTAAAATCCAAACTCATTATCATATCCTACAAGACCTGAAAGCAGGGGTCCATAAACTATGGCCCACAGGCCACATCTGGTGCACCTCTTGTTTCTGTGAATAAAGCCTTGTTGGAATACAACCACACGGACTGATTTATGTGTGGTCTGTGGGGCTGTCACGCTAGAATTGAGCAGCTGAGACAGAGACCATATGGCCTGCAAAGCCTAAACTAGTTAAGTTACTATCTGCCCCTTTACTGGACCTATTTGCCAGCCTCTGCCCCTATAGGATTTTGTCCAACTCATTTTCTACCTATCCTTCAATCACTACGAGTATATTCTAGTTATGTGGGCTTTTGTTTCTGTTCGTTAAAGAGGTCAACTTTGTTCCTGCCTCGTGGACTTTGCACTTGCTTTCCCTTCTGCCTGGACGGCTCTTCTCACTCACTGTTTAACTGGCAACACCCTGTCCTTCAAGTAGACTGAGCTTAAATGTAACTTGAGACATAGAGAGAAAGAGAGAGAGACACCTCTCTTGACCTCTACCTATAAAATATGTTTGACCCCCAATCATTATCATGGTAACTTATTTCTCATCATAGCATTTAATATCATCTAAAATTGTCATTTTCATTTGATTATTAGTTTATTGTCTGTCTTCTCCCACTGAAGTATAGACTTCATGAAACCAGGGACTTTTTCTGTCTTATTACTACCACTGTATCTCCCTAGAGCAGGGTCTCAACCTTCACATTACTGACATTCAGGCCCAGACCATTTTCTGTTGTGGGTTGCTCTGTGCACTGTAGGGCATTTAGCTTAAAAAGGGTAAAGGGCTTGCTCACAATCACAGAATTAGTAAAGGAAGGAGCAAAACTCAAAATTAGTGAACAAGAACTCAAAGTCAAGTCTAAGTCTGCATTAATCTTAAACTTTAAGTACTTATTATCAGCCTCCTCAAAACTATACTAGACAAACTGGGAGTTGAGAAGTAAAACTTAAATTCCAGTCTCTCTTTGCAGATGCCAAAAAACAAACAAACAAACAAAAAACCCAAAACAAAAACAACAATAAGCCTGACTGGTTGGGGCTCAGTGAGTTGGGTGTCATCCCACAAACGAAAAGGTCACTGGTTCAATTCCCAGTCAGGGCACATGCCTCAGTTGCAGGCCAGGTCCCTGGTTGGAGGTGTGCGACAGGCAATCAATTGATGATTCTCTCACACATCGATGTTTCACTCCCTCTCTTTCTCCCTCCTCTCCCTCTCTCTAAAAATAAATACATAAAATCTTAAAAAAGGAAAAACAAGAGTTAACTGAAGACTGCAAAGTAATATATATATAATTAAGTGCCAGACTAGGCTACAGCACAGGCAAGATGGGGGCCAAAAGCTTGCAAAGCTGGTGAGGTAAACTCAGGTTTCTGTGAGTAGGAGATTTTGTGGGGGTGTTTTGGGTAGGGTAAGTGTGGATATTTTGTTTGGTTTGTGTGGAGGGCAGTTAGAGAAGAGAACTGATTTTACTTAAACACTGAGGCTCTAGTTAAGGGTATTATTTTTCCAAAATCCTTACATTTAATTTTGCTTTTCTTAGAATAAGGAAGAGTCTTTACTTACAAGCTCTTGAGAAATGAAGTTGTTTAATCCTTCCAAAATTTACCACCCTCATTTTTTGATAAGGTTCCTCTGTCCACCATTTAAATGTCTATATGGCCTTGAACAACTTAGAAAAATATTAAGGCTCTATTTCCTCACTTATTTAGATAAATGTGCAAAATGCTCTTAGCACAATGCCCAGCACATAGTAGGTATGCTGAACAAATGCCAGATCCTTCCTGAAGTAATAATCACAGTTATACAACCATTACTCTTGTGTATTTTTTGATAATATACAGTAACAACACAGACATTGTAAGAAAGGGATTTGAAGAGTAAAGTGAGATAAAGACCATAGTGAATACATTCAAAGTGTGATTTAGGGCTGGCTGGTCTTTAGAATGTTAAAAGAAAGGCATAATAAAATGAGAAAATGGAGAACAGACTCTATAAAATGTGAAATGTTGTTTTCTCTAAGGCACCCTACACATTCTGGAAACTCAGTAGCTCTTAAGTTCTATGAAGTTTCAGCCAAACACAGAACTAAAATGTACAAAGGCTTTAGCAACAGAGGCTGCTGTATCCATAGAAACAATGTGGAACTCTTGCGATGGAAGGGAGCTTTCCAACTGAATACATTAATGAGTGTGCATCTAAGATACACAGTCTCGCAATCTCAACCTTGGATTTTCAGATCCGAAACTGTGCTGATCATAAAGATGAGAAATAATGACAATGTTTAATATTGTTTAGGATTGGGATTAACAGAACTGTCTCACATGCTGCAGGAGAAAAATTTCGATCGAATCTGGTGATATGGATCAAAAGCCTTAAACACATGCATATTCTTTGCTCAAACAATTCCTCTTCAAGGAACACATTGTAAGGAAATAATGAAACAAATGCACAGTGACATGTGCGTTTACAAATGTTCACACTGTTAACAGTAACAGTACAAATGTTCACACTGTTAATGGTAATAGTAATAGCAGAATCCTCAAATGCTAATGGCAATAGCAAACTTCTGGGACACAAAAGTCCAAAGGTAGAGATTTGGTTAAATAAATCATGGCACAGACAGCCATTAAAATAATGTTTACTAACAAAAGTGCCCATGCTGTAATACATCTAAAAATCAGTTCACAGGAGTACCTGTAGAATTGCCCCTTTTTGTTAAAAAATATATATACAATGCATAGCAAGGGGTCAGAAAAAACATCCCTCAAAGTGCTAACAACAGTTTTTATTTTTCTTTTGCCTATTTTTCATTTTTCTGTACTACATGCTATAGTTTTTTAAAGGAAAACATTAAGATCTGTCATTATAGATTTGTCAAAGCTTAAACTTTTCTCATGCTTAAAAGAAAAATAACCTGAACTACAATGTAATATTACAGTGAAGTCCCCAATCACCACTTACCTTATATGTAAGCATGACAGCATGGGAGTGGTGCCGCCACCAAATACCCACACAGTAAAAAACACAATCAGAAGTGTGGTGCTGAACATCATTTGCCGTGCGTAAGTGGCAGTATCTCTAATGGCCAAGGCAAATGCCATTGCACCACGAAGGCCTAAAAGGGAATGGAAGAATCCTTCAGTAACTCATTACCAATGAGAACTTCACAAATTCAGAGAAATAAGGCATTCTGAGAACTTAAGACAGCCATGAACAAATACATATGTCAATGTACATAAGTAGGTAAAAATAAATGGAAAGAGAATTAGTAGACTACACTGACATACATTGATCTTTTAAAATTTTTGAAGGAATTAATTTTTTTCACTTAATTTCATTTCTTTGTGGTTCTATGACAGCTGTCCCAGGTTTTCCCTCATGGCTCTCCACTGCCCTGCCCACCCCTGAGTAAAATCCATTCTTTTTGGTGTATAGTTCCATGAGTTGTGACAAATGCATACAGGTGTGTGACCATTAACACAAACTGCACACAGAATAGTTTCATTACCCCCCGCAAATTCCTTTGTTTAACCTCTTTTTAGTCCAGTCTCTCTGTCATCCTGCCAAATCCCTGGCATCATTCATCTGTTCTCCATCACCATGCTTTTGTCTGAGAATGTCACATACATGGAATCATACAGTATGTGCCTTTTTGAGACTAGCTTCTTTCACTCAGCATAATGCCCCCGAGGTTCATCCATGTTGGTGTGTGTACCGGCAGTTTGTTCCTTGTAGTGCTAAGAAGCATTCCATGGCTTGGGGGTGTCTCAGTTTGCTTACTCCGTCACCCACTGGAACAGACAACTGGGCTGTTTCCAGATTTTGGCAGTTATGAATAGAATTGCTATAAACATTCACATACAGGTTCTTGTATGAAAATGCATAAATCTATCTTCTCTACTATGTGTGACAGAGTGCTGAACTAGAACAATGAAAAAATCCCCATAGAAGGGAATGAAACACTATGATTTTTTTCTATTGGAGGTTGCCACTTCAATGTTTAAGGGAGTCTTATATTACCAGCATATCATTTCTATTTCAAATCAAGCTGGCATGTGCATTGTGAGTTGTTTCTTGGAGTGGGGAAAGAAAGGGAAAGTTATAACTTACCAGCAAACATCATCATATGTTGAAAATTTGATCCAATCTTACTCCTTCTACCCAAATTAAGCAAGAGCGACAAGGGGTAAATATTGGCAGCTCTTCCCAAGAAAATAGCAACCTAAAATTATTAATAGGTTAAGGACAAATTATTTTTATTAATATTATTTAGACTGTACACGCAAGATGGTGAAAGGTTATCTTAGGAAGCTGTTCCTAACAGTCTTTTGATTCCACTAACACGGAGATGACAAATAAGACTTTCTGCAATGATGAAAATTTTGTATATCTGCACTGTCCAATATGCTGAGGCCTGAAATGTGGCTAGTGTGACCTAGAAACTGAAATTTTATTTCATTTAAATTAATTTAAATTCAAATAATCCCAAGTGGCCCTGACCAGTGTGGCTCAGTGGATTGGAGGCTGTCCTGCAAACCGAAAGGTCACCAGTTCAATTCCCAGTCCGGGCATGTCCCTGGGTTGTGGGTTTGGTCCCTGGTCAGGGCACGTACAAGTGGCAACCAATCAATGTTTCTCCCTCACATCAATGTTTCTCTCCCTCCCTTCCCTTCTCTCTGAACAATAAATAAAATCTTAAACAAATTAAGTATTCACAAGTGGTTAGTTACCACCAAATTGAACAGTGCAGATCTAACATATAGGAAATTTGTGCAATGAACAGAAACATGTTTAAAAGCCAAGCTCTTTGGTATAATCTTAAGATTATGAATGTAACGGGTTAATGCATTTCAATTGTCAATGTTGGTGGGAGGAAGAGTAACACTGGCTAAACTTGCCCTTGTTTTCTCAGAACAAAGAAAAGGGCAGCTCAGGCACCTCATGTTCCTCCAAGTCTGTGACTTCCACCCTGCTTTAAAGGGAAGGCTTAATGGGAATTCAGAATGGTTTTAACAAAAAAACAATTTTAGTGCCTTGTCCTTCGGTTTGCTATCTATAGAGACTCCTGCTTTAACATAACAATTTTTATTTCAGGGGTTACAATATAATCTTCACCCCAATTTTCTAAAAGGAATGTAAAGGAAAATCTGAGATTAAAAATGAAACAGAGTGGGGGAAACAAGTGCTGAGCCCAGTACCTTTGGAAATGGCTAACGTCTGTAAGACTAAAGGTAAAACAAACTGCACACAAGCACATGTGCTCGTTGGTAAACTTGTATCTTGTTTAAACCTCAGTGAATTTGGGTCTTTGTCACATGAAATGAAACCTACATCCTAAGAAATATAGACAGCAAGAGAACAGCTCTCCCTGGAAAGAGTCAATTTTCACGGTAAGATTTTGTATTGAGAAACTTCAATTTCTAATACACTCAGAAACCTAGGGAGAATATTTAGCCTTGTTTATGGTTAAGTATAGTGGGTCATGCCACTTGACTGCTCAAAAATTTCTCAAACACCAGCAGGATGTGAAGTTACCAATCTCATAGGAGTCTTCCAGCTAACGTTCTTCTCTTATTAATAGGGCTTTATCTTTTTTTGTGCTTGAGGTTCATTCCCAGAAGACTAAGACTCTGCAGAATGGCACTGCAGTGATAACTCACTTTCTAACAGAGATTGTACTTAGGATTTTAATTTCAAAAATATTTTTGCTAGCCCTGGCCAGTGTGACTCAGTAGGTTAGAGCATCATCCGGTAACCAGAAGACTGAGGGTTCAATTCCCAGTCTGCACGTGGGTGCGAGCAACACCTTATCCACACACCAATCCCCAGTTGGGGCGTGTACAGGAGGCAGCCAATTAATGCCTGTCTCTCACCTCAATGTGTCTCTCCCTTCCTCTCTAAAAACAATGAAAAAAATGTCCTCGAGAGAGGAACACACACACACACACACACGTGTGTGTATATGTATTTCTGAGGTGGTTTTAAAAGTACTTCTTTTGAAAATCACTAATTTAAACATCCTTCAGTCCGACCATAATTTTTTTCATGTTTCCTGTTAATATATGTCATCTTGGGTAATTTTTCCACCTTACTGGGACTTCTAGTCCAAAGATTCTGCTACTTTCCCTTCAGTCAGTCCTTTTCCTGCTTCACTTCCCTTCCTAACCACACCTTAGTAATACTCCCCAATACCTGACATTCATTTGCCCCTTTCTGTGGACCAACCATCTCTTTCCTCCATGCTCACAGCTAAGAACAAAGTCATACAACAGGGCAGACTGATTCCACTGCTAATACCTATTCATCAGACTCAAACGGGTCCCTAATACAGCTCTGCAATCTTATAGCATTTCTTTGGTCATTCACTCTCTCATTCTCTGTAACAACTATTTCTAAATCTTCTCAAAATTCCTGTCACCTGTGGAAACAAGCCCCCAAGATAGTCCCCAGTGATCCCTGCCTGCAAGTATTCACAGCCTTGTGAAGTCCCTGCTCACATTGTACCAGAGTCCATCTGTGTGACCAACAGAATACAGCAGAAAGGATGATGGTATATCACTTCTAAGATTAGGTTATAAAAGGCACTCTGGCTTCCATCTTAGGGCTCTCTCAGCTCATTGCCGCTAGGGGAAGCAATGCTGTGAGCTGCCCTGTGGAGAGCTTCACGTGAATAGAACTGAAGCCTCTAGCTAACAGCCATATGCGTGAGCTTGGGGTGGATTCTGCAGCTCATCAAGTCTGCGGAGAGCACAGTCCCAGCCCAGAGAGTGATTGCAACCTCGTGAGAGATACTCCAGCCAGAAGAGCCCAGCTAAACTGCCCCTGGTATCCTGACTGTCAAACTGTGAGATAATAGATGGCTATCGTTTTAAGCTGCTAAAGTTTAGGGTAATTTGTTACATAATAGATTACTGACAGGTCACTGACTCCTATCTCACTTTCAGCAGATAATTTCACCTCATACTTAACAGATTAAAATAGAGGTTATCAGTCAGGAATACCATCTCGCAAATGTGCCTTCATCTCTACATAACCTATCCTCTCCTGGAACCGTGGTGGAGTTATGCCTCCTCCCACTGAAGGCCAAACCTTCCCCACATGCTCTGGATTTCATTTCCTGCTGCCTTCTCACAAGGCTGGTGATATTAATTGCTCCCCCTCAAGTACTCAGCTTCTCTTCTCACTTTCACCTGGATTTCAAAGACGCAGTGAGAGAGACAGAAGCAGCCTTCCATCCACTTTCAACTACTGCCCTATGGCACAGACCGCCCCGCTCCCCAGCATCTACTCTCTCTTTCTTCCCTTTAGTAAGAGAGGCCAAACAGTTTTATCTTTTGGCATTGGCAGAATGGTAGGAGACTTTTTTCAGTCATTTCAATCTATCAATATTGTGTGTGCAATAAATGAAAATGAAAATAGATAAAACAGAGCAGAAAAAAAGAGTGACAATCCTTACTTGTACTCAGAGGAAAATTTTATATATTTAAGTGTACTCTTATCAACCACCCCTCCAGAAAACACATGTGAATCTCAATTTTCAAAATAAAGTTTTAAAAATAGAACACATAATAAAGGATACAAATGCTCCTACTACAAATGTTGGATTGAAGACATGGTTCTGAAAGGTGAACAGTGTCAGTCCCATGTAGGAGAAGATGAAATTCTCTGCCAAGAAATTGAGAAGCTCAAACAACTGAAAGGAAATGTCAAAAGGTTAGGCCAGTAAATAAATTCAGTGACATAATTTGAAAACATGAGTAATATTAACACAATGAAAGACATTTCAAACATGTAAAGTTTGTGCTTATCCCCCAAAATGGGATTCAGAGGCAAACAAATGTACTGATGACATTCCCGGTCCCACAGAAAAAGCCAGAATTGTTGCCTCTCACTTTTCCTAGTCAGCTTTTCTTCTCCAGTCTCCATCCGTATCCAGTCATTCTTATTCTCCTCTACCAAACCCTGGCAATTTTTCTTTTGGAATATTCTTTGTTGTCCCTGACACTACCTTTGTATACCTTTTATCATTCCCCACCTATCATGCTGCGAAAGGACCCTCCCTGACTGGTATCCTTGTCCCGCATCTTCTACACCTCCACCTAACGAATCTCTCTAATTATGGCAGTTTCACAGACACTTCCCTCGTCACAGGCTGTAAGATCCAGTTCAATTATTTTTTTGTCCTGGCATAGGATGCTTCATAACAACTCTCATATCATTGCCTTGCCATGCAATTTCACTTTTTATGTGGGTCTTGGCCTTCACTTAGGGAGTAAGGACTTATACGTTAGTGTCTAGTGCTCTGTACCTTCCCCAGCTGCCTGTCCACCTTCCACCTGTTGACATCACTGCCTCGTCACGTGTTACTAACACAGTAGGGATATGAGACCTGCTGAATGAATGAGTTCAAGGCTCCCATAACCCAGCATTTCTCCGTCCATCAGGGTTAGCTGCCACTATTGTTTACCACAAGCCTGCTACCCCCACAAAACATGGGTTCAGGAGTCAAAGTGCCTTCTCCACTTGCTAGCCATGTGGCTGTGGGCAAGTTAGTTAATCTTTGTAAACCGGTGTTGACTTATTACTGAAAAATGGTAATAAAAGTAAACAAATAAAAAGTAAACAAAAAGTAAAAAGTAAAAATAAAAGTAAACAAAAGGTACATATATATTTAATTTACTTTAAGTGATTTAATATATTACTTTTATTACTTATTTATTTAATGATAATAGCTAAACCTTATCCAGTTTTTACTATGTGTCCAATACTATGCTAAGGACTTTATATGTATTATCTTCTTTTAATCTCACCACAATGCTGTGAGGTAGGTACACTATTATCCTCATTTTCAAGATGGCAAAATTGAAGCACAGAGAAATTATGTAGCTTCCCCCTGTTCACAAAGCCAGCAAGTAGCGGAACCAGGATTTAGAACAATACAGTGACGCCCCAGTCTCCGCTTTAATGAACACCAGAGCCTGGCAAACTTTTCCTGTAAAGGGTCAGACGGTAAATATTTGAGGCTTTGTGGGCCTCATGGTCCCTGTCACAAGCACTCAACCCTGCCATATTAGCACAAAAGCAGCCACGGGCTTTATGTTAAAAGATGGGTGTGGCAGTGTGCCCATAAAACTATTGATGGACAAGGAGATTGGAATTTCATATAACTTTCACATGTCACAAATTATTCTTTTGATTTGTTTACAACCACTTAGAAATCTGAAAACCATCCTTAGCTTGCAGACCTCACAGGGAAGCCTGGCTAACATTTTCCAGCCTTCGCTCCGCACTCCACTGCCTTCCATTTGAGGATTTTAGTTGCTTTTTTATTTGTCTCTACTGGTTTTGTTTCCCCTAGGCTTTTCTGAATTCTTCCCAGCTTTCTAGTCCCATCGTGTTCTCTATGATAGCTTTCCAGCTCCTCAAGCTTCAAAACATCTATCTCCCCCCTTCTCTGTGTTCTGGTATGACATATAATCTGAAACAAACAACTAGAAGTTCTATCAGTCTTCGTATGTACACAAGCCTCATATCACCAGTAAGACTGGGCACTCATACCTTGTTTTTTTTTTTCATTCAGCACCCCACTGCCTACAAAAATGCCAACTTCTCACCAGCTGATTAGCTTCTCTATACTCACTGCACTGAATTAATTTGTAAAGGGATTTGTAACCCCAATGTATATCCTTGGGGGGAAAAGCCTAATTTCTTCTGAGGGGTTGGGAAAAAAGCATGTCATACACGAAATTTGTGGCTCAAGAACAAAGAAGAAAAGAAGTACCTTTTCTCTCGCCTTATCACGAGTCCTTTCCCGGCTAATCTCAAATATTCTAATAATTTGGCAAAACTTAAAGCCTCTATTTCCTGACATAACCATAAACAGGCATGTGTCTGTTTTTATTCCAGTCATTACATGTTGTTTATGTCTTTGCCCCATATACCTCATAAGACTAAAGAATGCTATGTCTATTTCCTTTATGATTCCCTTCAGGTACCCTGCACAACCAATCATTCAGTACCATATGAGGCCCAACCACTGATGTTTTGACATTCCTGGATACGCAGTATCCTCAAAGGGCCTGAAGAAATTTAATCTTCTCTGTATCACCCAGCAGTACATCTATTCAGATTAAAAATTAATCTTACCAATATCACACAGCAGTAGTTCTAGTCACACCTAAGTGAACTTCTAAAACATTCTTCTTAGAAGCTATTACAGTGCTCACTTTGGCAGCACATACACCATGAAATGATATGGAGAAGATTAGCATGGCCCCTGTGCAAGGATGACACACAAATCCAGGAACAGTTCCATATTTTTGTGGTGGGCACACAGTGTGATATACAGATCTAATATCATACAAATGTGTACTTGAAACCTATATGATCTTATCAAGCAATGCCACCCCAATAAATTTAGTAAAAAAAAATACACACTGATGTGCAGAGGGAAAATAAAATAAAAATGAAATATTTAAGCTTAGTAAAAAATAAGCCATGAGATTAGGAAAACAGAAAAGGAATCTGACACAGTAACAAGAGTCCCTGGGTGTTCTGCTGACCTACACCTATACCCTACAGGCAGTCACCCTTCAACCTGCTAATTCCATCTATTTCTGGAATCAAAGGAAGAGGAGCTGGAATGAGTAGATATCATTTTGAACAGATCAAGGATTATTTTTTTTTCAGTATGAAAACACTTCTGTTTCACTGCAGGGAGGAAAGGTTTACTCACAAACTATAAAGTTTCTCTTACCTGTTTAGTTCTATGCTGAGACTCTGTGGACAAATTATTGTATGTATAATGGGCCTGTGTGATGCCGCAGAACAACACTGCAACCACACCTATTACGACAAAGAGTTCCAAGTTCATGTGAAAGCAAATTCCCGACTTTTCTCCCAGGTTTTTACTTTACAGATGTAGACTATACGCTTAGTGTTGACATGTTCAATTGTGACATGCTTTGTTGAGACATATCACTTCCACTGAAAATATTTTTTACATTCTATAGTGACAGCATAAATCCCAACCTTAGCAAGTATGTTCAAATACTAATGGAGTTGGTCCACTAATAGAAAACAGATGACTGGCAAAGTCACTCTTTGTAAGGGCTTACTTACAACTGAAAGGAGAAACTAACCCACCTGTGAAACCCCACGCTTCCGCCAAGAGGAAGGTACTCCAGGACATCAAGAAGAACAAGCCTGTCTCCAACAACTGGAACTCCCGTAGTTTGGTGAACTTTGTCACGTAAGACTGTCAAGGTTGGTAACAAGATCTTGGAGTACAGGGGTGGGACTAGAAAAAATAATAGTCAAAGCAAGGCAACATGAAAGCGAAAGAAGGATTCGTCAGCCTCTCTAACACCAAGCTCAAAAAACAAGGAGGCACCAGAGTGCAGAAACTCTTAAAATGTTTATCTTACTGAGGAGTGAGCAGCCATCCCTTTTGTGATAAAGTCATACAGCTTAGTCGATCAAACCGTTTCATGTGTACCACATGCCCTGCCAGAAACCATGCAGTAAAGGACAGGCAGAGATGGGAGCAACACGTCAGATACACAATATGCCAACTCTTGACTATTAATTTGTGACCCAAAGCAAGGGAGCTTCCATAATTACAGCAATTTGCATTTATTGAGAATGTTATTTTCATGCCACATCACATTTATCTGATGTCTTAACACCTCTGCGATGCAGAGCATTCCATGACAAAGAAATGGAGGCACATCACTCGTACTAGTCTAAAAAGTATTTGTTAGTTGACAGGGGAAGGACCTGTGTGAAGCAGTAACAAGTCCCAGGCTGAAATCTCCATTCACTTCAATAAACATGGACCACAACAAAAAGATGAAGAAGATATACTTCCTACTCTCAAGGAAACTGTAATAGGAAACATGCTATTGGCCCTGGCTCCTCCAGAACTCTTTTTCCTGCCTCTTTGTGCCCCAACTCACCTATAAAGAGCCGTAAGACAAGTCTCTTCCAGCACAAAGCTGAAGTATAGCAAACTCATAGATTCTTGAGAAAAAGTATTTGTTTTATACAAAAGTATATGAAAGAACTGGAAGCTCTTGTCTAGTCCCAATAATTCTCCCCACTGCTCCCGCTGTCCACCTTCCCACACCGAGGGCCCATGAGGTGAAATGCCGATGCTTCTATACCAGAAGCTCCAGGAGGGCAGAAGCCACATCTGTCTTGTTTGTGTTTGATACTCAGAGCACAGCACCTGGCATGCAGGAGGCAATCTCGTATTCTTGGATGAACACAAGAAAGACTTGCCCAATATTTCAGAGTAAACTAGTGGCAGCGCCTAGGACTCTGGAGCAGAAGGTTCAAGTCAGTGACAGCCGAGATGAACTGCCATCTGTTCCAGCCCAGGGACACTACCTTGTTCAGTTGGCATCACGGTCATAGGTTTCTTATTTTTCCTTTGAAACAAGAAGCAAAAGACTTCGAGGCTGAACAGCAACACAGAAGACCCAAAGGCTCTTTGAAATATATCTAAGTTTACATCAATATCAATTCAGCCCACAACTTTAAAATTCACCCCAAAGGGTCACTGTGTCTAAACTTTTGTAGTGGAAGTTTGAGGGCATGGAGCCCTACACAAAACAATTAAGTTCTTTTATTTATTGATAATGATGACTGCCTAATGTTTTCAAACCAAGTACTTGGTTACAAAGTGAATAATTGTAACACAGTGCCAATATGGAACTAGAAGAAACTACAGAACACAGCATTTGATTATGTTGTTGGGTTACTGAGGGAAGTTAAATATAATAAAAGGATATTAAAGCTGTCACCACTCCAGTAGCTGCACCCATCGCAAAAGATCCACTGAAGATCCCAAGGAAAATCCCAATAGACTTGAACATGGCTGTGACATCAAAGGTGTGGCTGTTGTCTCCGGCTGGCTGGTATGCCACTATTGAGCTACAAAGGAGAGACTGGTCTTACTTCTAGAAGCAACTTTTACTTTAAAAATATTATCTAAAAATAATTACATGAATAAATAAATAAAGACATCATCTAGTGTAGAGCTTAAAAAATGAAATCAAAGTGGGGGGGGGGGACCACAAAGCTTTGGATTTAAATTGCCAAAGTAAGGTCAAAAGGTTACCAAAACACACTTCAATGGCTCAGGCTAAAAAGAGAACTCAGCTTTTACTTAAATGACAGTTTCAAGAGGTACAATATTTTAAGGTCCTTTATATGAAAATTGTATGAGCCTTTTCCTCCAGCCTCCAGATACTGTGCAGTACTATTCTTTTGTGACTGTTTAAGACTTACTGAGTGCCTGAAAGCGCTAACATACTAGTGTGAACAAAGTAATGAAAAAGTATACTTATTTCCAGCAGAGAAATATTACTCAACCCCGTCACATTTTGTGTTTTCTATGAGAAAAAAAAAGATGACTGAAGTACCCTTTCAACTTTTAGAATACCAGAATGGGCCCAATGCCTGATATCTGTTCACTCACTGAAATCGGCTTTTACCGGAAAAGGGGCTTGAAAGCCCTTGCAAGGAATTAGAATCTACTCAACAGTACTTTTAGCGTGCCCAGCTTGATCCTCCCTCCACTTCAAACTTTTGAAAGAGAGTCACTCTGTAAGATGCCAAGATAGGCAATTACAGGAGATACTCTCCATCTTGAACTCATAGTCCAAACCTGGCCTAAACTGCTTCTTTTAAAACAGTCACCCCAGGAAGTAGAAATGGCTGAGAAAATCGCTGTTGCCAGCAGGTCTCTGGCAAGAGTACCTACCATCACTAAATTAGTTCTCATCTCAGTGCACTGAGGTACCAGTATTTTTATAAAAAGTCCAGACTCAAAGAAATCATACAAGTCACATCAAAGAAAGGGAAGGAAAAAACCCATTAGTACTAACATAGTGAATTCTCCCTGTGGTTACTGCAATGTTTTTTTCTGATTCAAGGCTACAAAATGGGTTTGCTGTACCATGTACACCAAGTTCTTTTCATAGCTTCTGAGTTAAAACAAACAAACAAACAAACAAAAACTAAAACTAAGACCAATCCTGACTGGTGTGGCTCAGTGGGTTGATCGTCACTCTGCAAAGCGAAAGGTCGCTGGTTCTTCCAGAGTTGGGCCACATGCCTGGATTGCAGGTTGGTCTCTGGTTGGGGTATGGGGCACACATCAGAGGCAGACGATTGATGTTTCCCTCCCTCTCTTTCTCCCTCCCTTCCCCTCTCTGTAAAAATAAATAAATAAAATCTTAAAAAAAAAACTAAGACCAAACTAAAATTTCCTAATACTACCAATTTTATTGAAGAAACTAACGCACTAACTGCACTAATGTCAGTTTCTGGTAATGGCACCAAGAAATTTCTAAGACTCAATCTAAATTGAAATTTTAAACAGTTGCTTTTAAATGTTCAAAGTGAACAGATCATTTTGGGAACAGTAGATTTGATATTATTTTAATATATACAAAACGGCCTTTAATGTCATGCTTTCTTACCTACACATAAAGGGCCCTGCCACTGTAAATGAGATCTGACCACCACCATACCATGAAAATACAGCAGCTGGCTGGAGAAAAAAAGGATATTTCTACGACTACCTTCTTTCTCCCTGGTGATAGTTTTCCAAATGCTGGCTGGAACAAAATATCTAATGCCATGCCTCCTGAGACTGCCTTCCCTGGATTAGTTCATATACATTCATTCAAGATTCACATTAGCCCTGGCTGGTGTGGCTCAGTGGATTTAGTGCTGGCCTGCAAATCAAAGGGTCCTCCAGTTCGGTTACCAGTCAGGGCACATGCCTGGGTTGGGGGCCAGGTCCCCAGTAGGGGGTATATGGGGAGCAACCACCATTGATGTTTCTCTCCCTCTCTTTCTCCCTCAAGTCCCCTCTCTCTAAAAATAAATAAATAAAATCTTTAAAAAGATTCACATTAATCATTATCTTATGCTTTCATCGCTAAAATACATGAGAACACATGAAAAGATTGGTGGGCTGAGGACACATGGGAAGTTTATTTTCCTCTTTGTTAGTCAAATGCTGTCCTCTGGATTGAAATCCTAACCCATCTTTCTCACATCAATCAATATTTTATCTTGAAGCAGTGACATTTCTATGAATATTTTTTTTTTAAATGTGAAAGTAATACAATGTACAATTGGCGGGGTAATCACCCCCTTGCCCCACTACCCTGACAGATCTATCTTATTTTTCACCTGTATTTTCCCCTGTTTTGTTACATGCATGCTATTTTATGTTTAGTTATAATCACAGTGAACATATGATTTTGAATTCTGCTTCTTCAACTGACCATGACATAAGAATTATTATAGTCTCTCTAACCTTGGGTTTTAAGACTTCAAAAAGGGTCCAAATGGAAAAAACATAATTTCTGTAGCCATTTCCCCATAGTTAAACATTTAAAAGTTGCTTCCTAATCATTTTGCTGCTATTAATAATAGATTAAAAGAATATATTTGTGCTTTTTAAAAATTGTGGACTATTTCCTTGTGCTACATCCCTAGAAATAGGGCATTGCTATACTTATGGCTCTTTTCACATGTTGCACAACTGCTTTCAGATAGATGTGGATTCCATGTTTGGAGAGAACTATGACTATATCTCTCAACTTTTTAGTGATCATATCCATTGGCCTAGAAATTCTACTTTTAAAAAATCTCAGAGAAATAATCTAAAGTATTAATAGAAACTTACATACACATGTTCACTGCAGTACTATGCATGATAATACAATATTAGAAAATGCCAAATATTCATCAACAGGGCCTTGGAGAGATAAATTGGTAGTACACCCTTACAATGGGGTAATAGAGGTACCGTATTTTTCAGACTATAAGATGCACTCTCCTCCCAATTTGGGAGGAATAATGGTTGATAATGCTGCTGTTGAGTTCTGTTTACATTTACATTGGTGAAATATTATGTTATTTATGTTATTAAATATTTTACCACATTTTTTGCTTCAAAAATTTTTTTCCTATTTTCCTCCTTTAAAACCTAGGTGTGTCTTATGGTCCAAAAAATACAGTATTAATGTAGCTTTCATCCAAGTAAAAAAAAGCAAGTTACAGACAGTATGTACAGTACTACATGTTTTTTCACTTGAAAATGATTAATATATTTATGTGTGTTAATATCCTAATGGAAAAAGTCTGGATGAAAACCATAATAGTGGTCATTTCTGAGAGCTGAAATTTCAGAAATGTCTTCCTTTCTAAGTCAAATCCTTTGAAGTTTTGTTACATCTGTGTTAATTTTATTATCATGAATAATGACAAAAGATAAAATACCAAGGAGTAGGAGATACCAATTTCAATGTTAACACCAATGTATGAATAATCTAGTTCTATGACACCAAGGTTTCTCAAATCAGACATGGTTGGTGTTTAGGCCCAGATAATTATTTGTTAGATGGTGGGTACCGAAGCATATTTAGCAGTACCCCTGGCCTCTACCAATAGATGCCAGTAGCAACCTACTCCCATTCATGACAACCAAAATGTTCCCAAATATTGCCAAATATGCCCTGGGGAGGGGACAAAATTGCCTCCAGTGAAGAATGATGCACTAGACCATTAATAGCAGTTAACTACATCCATTAACAATTTTTTCCTGTTAAATGAGTAGGTAAAAATGGCCATATATTTTAACATGTATATCTCTGGTAATAGAAAAGTTAAACAGTTTGTCTTATTTACTCATTGTACTTCCTCTTTTATAAAATATTAATGACCCTAAAACAGATTTTAAACTAGGATGAATTTAGGTCTCCAGGCTACTTATGATATATCCATTCTGCAGAATACTATGCACCTTAGATTTTATTTCTGACTGGATGTATATACTAGATTACATGAGTACATAGAGATCTACCTCATACAGCAATGTACGGGTGAACCAGTTTCACTCCACCCTCACCAGATTAAAAGTATTAACATCAACAAAAAAAGTACTGCTAACCTAACAGGTCAAAAACCAAACAAAGCAACTTCCAACATAAATTCCAAGAAGGCCAACTGCCTTGACTTATTCATTGCCAAACAGCAGTCTTTCACAAAGGGTTCCCCCATTTATGCAAGGCTGCTTTATAGAATACACACATTAGAAAACCATCAAACTAATGAAACTCAACACAAAGAAGACTATTTTTTATCTAACATTCTTTAAAAGGCAAATGAAAGATGGTGATAAGACATATCGTTGAGCACTCCAGCTAGTTCTCTCTCAGAGCCAGCAACACGACTGGTTTCCCTTCAGCTCTGGGGCAGAAATTCATTTGCTCACCTCCATTAAAGACACCTACACGGGTAACAATTTCCCTGATATGATACTCTCTAGAAACAGTCCTTCTCCACCAGAGTTCTACCCAACTGTGTAATGAGTTAACTTATCTCCCATGAACCTAGAATAGTACTAGCTATGCACTACCCTTAGGAGAACTCAGAAAGAATCACTCAAATCATTCTCTACAAGGCTTATGTTCTCTCACAGAACCCTATTTGAGAAACACTACTAATAGAAGAAGGATCTGGCCCTTTGTGAGTTATTTTCCCCTTAACACTATTCAACTGTTGTTTCTTAAATTTGCAAGAAATAAGTTACCTTACTAATGGAAAAAACTAAGAGACAGGACACATCAGTTTAAGATAGGACCAAAACAGAGATTTCCAGGACAGAGATGTCTTTCTGACTCTTCATCTGTTAGGCAAAGAGGAAGGAATACTTAGATGATTAAGTAGCACAGTAATTATCCAAGATGGGGAATCAATGCTAAAAGTAACTGCCCGTACAGTATTCTTTTCATCTGGTGATCTTACATTCCGATGTACTGAAAGCTTCAACAATCTTTGCAGCTTCATTTATTTGCTTAACACCTAAGTTATAACCACACTATCCATTTCTCCCTCCCTTCAAATCATATAAAACTTGTACTTTGCACCTATTGTCACTAAAGGTACACATGTTCTGTATCAATATTAGTTCTAGCTTTTAATTTATTTCTGAGATTAAATGTACATTAGCTGGAGACAGCTGCAAAAAAGTCTGGCAATAAATATGGCAGAAGAGGTACAATTTACATATATCACTCACCAAAGAGGACTTGATTTTTGCCTATCTTTATAATATAATATTTAATGGATTAGTGTTACCTTTCAAAAAGGATAATTTTCCACTTTGCAGTAAGATAACAAACAGGGCCACTCAAGCCACACAAGCCAGAGTCAGTGACTGATTACTCTTTTATAAAGTATAAATTAAGGAGAGAAAAAAAAGATAAAGCGAAAGGTGGGCTTTTACTTTTCTCTCACAGAAAGCTCTGGTATGGAATAAAGGCAAATGTCTATAGGGTTAGATATTATCTTAGTAGCAGTGGGCTAGCAGAATTGGACTCCTCAGAAATTGAGACCCCTTAAATAAAATCTTTAAAGAAAAAGAAATCAAGACCCCTCCATTCACCTGTAAACAACTTCTAATAACATGTATAGTAATTTTTATAATTAGAGTCAAATATTGCTAATTTCAAACTGTCTTTAAAGAAGTGGTATTGTTTGCCCTGGCTGGGTAGCTCAGTTGGTTGGAGTATCGTCCCATACACCAAAAGCTTGTGGGTTTGATTCCCTGGTCAGGGCACATACATAGATTGCAAGAGGCAACCAGTCAGTATTTCTCTCTCACATCAATGTTTCTCCACACCACCACCCTACTGCCTGTCTCCTGTTGCCTCTCTAAAATCAATAAGTATATCCTTGGTGAAGATTTTTAAAAGGTATATTATTTAACACTTGTAAAAATTTAAAAATGTTTCTGAAATGATGATATTAAATAAGAGAAATACACAGTAAACTACAATGTGATATTTCTCAATCATCAAATTAGCAAAAAATATGAAAGTTTACAAATAGTCTGTTGATGAAGCTATGAGGAAATAGGCACTTCCATAATTTAGTGGTTAAAGTGAAAAATGGCATAATCCCTTTGGTGGGCAATTTAGTAATGTTTAACAGAATTACAAATGTATTTATTCTTTAACCCACTAATCTTATATATGGAAATTTATTCCACCAATAAGCCTATGCATGTATAAAACAGATTAAGTTCAAGTTTAATCACTGCAGCATTATTTGGAATAGCAAAGGACTGAAAACACTTTGTTTCCAACAATAGGAGACTGATTAAAGAAACTATAGTTCAGTTCATAGTATAGTACATAGAACACTATGTAGCTGAAAACAAAGAATGAGAAAACTCTGTTTTGATATAGAAACATCTCCAGAAGACAGTGATGTAAGACAAAGCTAGCTATAGAGCATATGTAGCATGATACTTTAAAAATAAGAAATATACAAAAGAAAAAATAAATAAATGGGACTGCATCAAACTAAAGAGTTTTTGCACAGCATAGGAAATCATCAACAAAATAAAAAGACAACCCACAGAATGGGAGAACCATATTCGCCTATACATCTGATATAAGATTAATATCCAAAATTCAAAAAGGACTTACAAAACTCAACACCAAAAAAACAAACCACCCAATTAAAAAATGAGCAAAGGACCTGAATGGATACTCTTCAAAAAGGACATACAGATGGCCAATAGTCATATGAAAAGATGCTCAACGTCACTAATCATCAGAGAAATGCAAATTAAAACCACAATGAGATATCACTTGCCAGAGTGGCTACCATCAATAGATCAACAAACAACAAGTAGTGGCAAGGATGTGGAGGAAGGAGGAACCCTTTTGCACTGCTGGTGGGAATGCAGATTGGTGCAGCTACTGTGGAAAGCAGTATGGAGATACCCCAGATAATTAAAAATGGTTCTGCCTTTGGACCTAATGATTCCACTTCTGGGAATATATCTGAAGGAACCCAAAAAAACTAATTTGTAAGAACATAAGAACTCCTATGATCATTACAGCATTATTTACAATCACCAAGATATGGAAGCGGCCCAAGTGCCCACCAATGGATGAGTGGGTAAAACAACTATGGGACATTTACACAATGGGATACTACTCGGCCATAAAAAAGAAGAAAGTTTTACCTTTTGCAACAGCATGGATGGACCTGGAGAACATTATGCTAAGTGAAATAAGCTGATCAGAGAAAGACAAACACCATATAATTTCATACATATATGCAATCTAAAGAACAAACTGAACTAACAAGGAAAATGGGGACAGACTCATAGATGGAGAGCAGGATGACAGGTGGCAGGGAGGAGACGCGGGTAGGGATTGAGGAAAAAGGAAAAAAGACTCATGGACATGGACAACAGTGTGGACACTGCTGCGGAAGGGGGGTATAAGGGGACTAAATGGTAATGGAAAAATACAATAAAGATTAAATAAAAAAATAAATAAAATAAAACTGACGATGAAAGAAATAAGAAATGAAGAGTCCATTAAGAATGTGGGAGGTGGGTGGGCAGGGGAGAGGAAACTAACAGGGAAAAATGGGAACAACTGTGATTGAACATCAATAAAAAAATAAAGAAAAATTAGGACACATAAGAAACTAATAAAAATGGTAAACTATAAGGAGCTAGGGGAACAGATGGGTGAGGACAGGAATAAGAATCTGACTTTTTGATATTCACCTTTCTATATAGCAGGGGCGTCAAACTCATTTTCACATGGGGCTGCACCAGCCTCGCTGTTGCTTTCAAAGGGCCGAAATAATTTTAGGACTGTATAATCATAACTACTCCTTAGTTGTTAAGGAGTTGGAATTACATTCAGCCCTTTGAAGGCAACCACAAGGCTAATGTGGCCCCCGGTGAAAATGAGTTTGACATCCCTGCTATACGGTTTTGATTTTTTATAAATATATGATCTATCTCAAAAATTTACTCTAATTTGAAAAATGTTTATGTTATAATGATAAAACAGCATATAAAATTATACATATATAATAATCACAACTATGTAAAAATACACATAGAAACAAGTATAAAAGAAATGTCCACAGAATGCTCACAGTAATTGTCTTTAGGTGTTAGGAGAACATATTTTTTTTTTGTCCTTTTTCAGCCCTGCATTTTTCCATGTGATCTATAAGTATGCATTTCTTCAAGAGGAAAAGAATGCCTATTCTTTCAAATGTTTCCATTCATAACACACTTTATTCAATAAGTGACTTTTGGTTCCTAGTACCCTAACATTCAATATACAGAATATAAAAAGAAAACAAACACTTACGAAGACAGCACTATGGCAACAGCATCATTGAGGACACTTTCACCAAAAAGAAGTGCATAGAGTTCAACATCAACTTGAAGCTCGTGGAATATGGCAAGAACAGTCACTAGCAAGCAGAAAGAGTCAGAGGAATATTTAGACATTACCAGTATCACATATTCCCCACCACAGATGATTATAATCAATATTTAGAAATTCATTTCTTTGTCTTAGAATTCAATTTTAATAAACATTCTTTTACCATATTAAAGAATCAGTAATTTTATGTCAATGTTTTTCTTTTTCCTAAATGTATACCTGCAATGTCTCCTTTCCCTCTTACAAACAGCTGAAAATAACCTTGGAAGACTGGCTTGGCCTACATTCCTCATGCAAATGCTAATGTTGTCTTGTATATTTCTTTTCTAGAAGGAATATATTCAGAATTTCTTATAGACAAGGTGATCATTAATCTTTGAAGAAGAATATTATGGAAAGCATTTCCTGCTGCAAACTTCATTTTTCCCTTGGAGCCTTACAACTCACTTCTATTTGACTTGTAAATTCCAAGCACTGGCTTAGCAAAGAGAGTAGGAAATGAAAATGCAAGTTTGCTTTTTGACCAGAATTACAGCTGCTATGTTTAACTTAATAAGAAACCAACCTTCATGTTATTACAGCTTGAGAAGATAAAAAACCTTCTTTTAGGAAACAATTACATGAAAACTCTTATAAAATCAAATAAAACTGAAGTTGCTTTGCAACTTTAATTGCTGAGTCACATACAGCTCACTCATTAAACCCAAGCAGACATGAAAGATGATTATAACCGGAGATAGGAGAGCCTCTTCAAATGCCAATCAACCCCACCCCCCAGGAAACTTGCATTTAAAATATATAGTTTCTACTACAAAGTATTCCATCTGGAGTATACTGATCCTAAGGTTTACCAAAAAGGAGAGAGGGAGGGCAGGAGCAACACTGCAGGATTTTAAAAAACAGAACCTTATATCAAGTAAACAATTATAAAATAAAAGATTTATTACAGGGGCATATGCCTTTATATTCAGAATACATACAACTGCCCAACTTTACACAAGGAAAAGGGCCACTCAGGCAATACCCCGCAAAAACAAAACCAGAAGGTTGAAGCAATGTAGCTAGTGCTATTGACTTAAATTTCTCATAGGCTTGAAAAAGCCGAGGACCGTTCTTCTAGTGAGGACACAGAAACAGGGAGCACTGGCTCCTTGCAAAAGCCATCCTATCTCTTTGTCTTGATAATGGAAGCAGTTACAAATAATGAGACAGTTTTGATGTAATTTAAGGGAGCAATTTGAGTTTCTATTTAAAAAAACGCTCAACGACACAAATGTATCTCTAAAATGTCTTCTTCTCTTTTAAAATAATTTCTTACAGGATACATGAAAATGTTATTTCCTACTTCCTATAATGCCCTGTGTTATCAGGGTTAACCCGAAAGTCCAGAGATAACCTCAGGATCCTACCTTTAATTGTGCTGGATGGCAGTAAGAAGGTGATTAACATACAAGGTCAAAGGGTACAACAGGACAAACCTCTACCAAGGTCCTAATGTCTAATAAAAGAAAACTTGCATCCTTAGTTAAAAAACTGCAATCTATGTTCCTATCCCTATCTCTTCAGCCTATACATTCTCTAAATGCCTAGTATGTAGCTATTAAGCCCACCAACACTATATTTGGAAAACTATGACCTGACTCTGTATGATTACATTCATTCCTCAGCTGTGCTAATATCAAAACTATTTTATAATTATATGGCCAGTTTTATAAAAACCCTTAAATGTATGTTGAAGCCCACCAATGTCCCAAAATCACATCTGTAGTAGTACAACTGCCTTCTAACAATCATTTAAAAACTTCTTTTATTACTCTTAAATGCAGATGGCTGAATGCAAACAGAAGCTTTTTAGGGAACTGGTTTTCTAGAAGCTTGAAAGGAAGTATGTAATTTATTACCCATTTTATTTAATCTAGTTCATCTCCTATACATAATCACTAGGAATAGAGGCCAACCTAGAAACCTGAAGAAAATACCTTATAGTCCGTGTCCAAACAGCATCAGATTATTGGACCAGTAACAGGCAAATGTAATAAAGTAAAAGGGGAAAAATGTGTGCATAAGCCAAAAGAAACCATGAATTTTGTTTTTTTCCTCCAGAATTGGAAAGTATAGTACTATGGGAAGTACCTGATCATGAATTCTGCACCTCAAAGGAAGAATTACCCACACGGGCTTTGCCAGCAACACTGTTCCTTAAGTACTCAAGCTCTTCTCTCATGTAAAACATACCTGGATCTGTTGCTGATACAATGGCACCAAACAGCAGGCAGTCTGTAAAGTAAAAATCTCCCGCAAGTTGTCCGGTTACTTTCATCAGTGTTACACAGCCATACATTATTGACCTGTTCAAAACATATTTCTACTTTAGAAAAAACATCAACTTGTTAAAGAAGTTAGAATATAGTAAGAATAAGAAGATGGGTCTACTGTAGTACTTTGTGACCAATCCGAAAGTTAATTCAGGCCATTTAAATATGGTAACACCTTGACCTTGAGAAAAACTATGACAACTTATCTACATGAACACACTTTACTGAAAAAAAGTCCTTGGACACATTCAGAAATACAATATTGCATAAAGCAAATAGGTGTTATTTTTAAATTATCATTTGAAAGCTGAAAAATGTTTTAAGCTTCAAGTACTTACCCAATTACGAAACAAGAAATTGCTGTTCCAAGAAAAGCATATGCTAGAATAGACCCAAGGTTTCGAAAGAAATGTCTCTGACAAAAGAAAAGGTTACACTGTGTTAGAATACTTAACAACTAATTGGAAAAGAAAATGTTTTCTATTCTACTGTGCTGTGCTAACATTAAAGGCATCATTCATTAAAGGAAATAAGAGAAAAAATTTTTATACAGGCATAAACTTCAGCATCTAAAAAGGGTAAGGAGAGGAGAAAGAAGGGGAAACCTGGGAAGAACTGCCTGTTTCAGAAGTGTCAAAGATGACAAAGCCCATGGAGTTTAAGGTTGTTCAAAGTATATAAAATACAAAAGCACTTACTCTTTTCAGACTATATCCTGCATAAAATATGATAGGAGGAAGTAATATGTTGAAAAATACTTCAGGATCAAAAGTAACCTGTTAAAATAAAGAGTTCTTTTAGATGAATTCTCTTAGAAGACTTCATACTGCATTATCACACTATCAAAAGGAAAAAAGAAATGTTAAACAGGCAAAAGGCAAGAATCTTACTGCAGTAACTGAAAATTTTTTCATATAGGATATATGTTGTTTTACTTCTCAACCAAATGACAAGGACGTAGATTTGTAACAACCAGTTAAGCTAGATCTGTGAAGTGTGTTAAAATACTATATTCAAAACCTTAAAAATAGGAGAAAGCATGAACCTATCTTTGCTTTAAATAACCGAGATTCAAAACTGGTAACAAAATGTGGGGGTACAGCATTATGGTTGGCAAGCGGAAACAGACTTCTTGCCTAGTAATGTCAGTAAAGGTTTGTATCATAAAATTATGGTAAAAAGTTTCTGCACGACACATCTCTAGTCCTGACAGTCCTTTTCTTTTAATACTTATTCCCTGGAATAATACAGACGCCCCCTTCTGTTCATAAGGCTATCGTAGGATTCAACATAAACAAAAAGCATCTACACATATACCCATGCTACAAGTTTGTTTATTAGAACTTTTAAAGAACTGGAGTTTTCCACAGGTGGAAAAAAATTCTTGGTGCAAAATAAACTTAAAGTTCATATAACATTTTACAAAGCATTCAAGATAATCAGGAACACAGTCAAGTAGTTACAAAAGCCAAGTCCTGCCAACATGGAAGACAGAAGTGCAGGCAAAGGGCCAATGGTGGGCGGAAACAAAGAGACCCTGAGTAGCTTCAGGAATAGAAACTATGAGGGTAACAGGAGAAAGCAGTTTCAAGAATGTCTGGGAGCCAGTAAGACTGCAACCCAACCTCCTACATAAAGCTTTATGTACAGCATGGTACAATAACTGATACTTAGACCGAGGCCCCTGAAGTTGTGCCAGATTACGAACCAAAGAAAGATTAAACTGTCCTCAGTATAGAATACCATAAAGGCAAGAAAGAATTCAAACAGATATTAAGAGAGTATTTTAGGTATTGTCAACTTAATGTGCTGAAATACTGTAAACTCTAAGGACCATCTGCAAATTGAAAGAAATGCTTATAAATTCTGCTTAACTCAATACTGGTCACCATTTATTACAACTGCAAACATCTGAGTAAAACAACAAAGGTTATAGTACCCAACCTCAATCAGAAAATGAGATGTACAGACATGTTCATTACTCTGCATTACATTATATTCCTTGAAGCTTTACTCCATTTTAAAAGACTAATTATTTTAAATATCATTAAAAACTCATTATGTATTTTTCTCTCGAATTACTTGGCTCCTACTTGGACAATTTTTAAAAAGTCAAAATTCCCTTTAACCAGGAACTTACCTTTCTAAGCATTTCGTTGTCTTGAACATTATTGAGTTCATGTGAACTAATTTCTCCTTTCAGTGTATACTCATAAAATTTTCCGCTAACATTTACCAATAAGGTAGTGGGGCTTGACTGCACTTCACAACTCAGGGTCACATTATTCACATCACTTGGAACATGAATTCCATATCGAAGCACAAGGCCCACAAAAAGACCTGGAATAATAAAAGAACAACATTAGCTCTTCTTTCAGACAGAGACTACTGCTTCTGTATCTTACACACATCTTTGAATTGATAACAGAAAATCTCTTATGATAGTCCCCTGTGGTTCAAAACCAATTTTTACATTGAATGCAGTTACATCTTGAAGTATTACTAAATTCACAAATCTAAGAGTCCAATATTCATATAATATAGTGAGACAGGAGGCGAAAATATTCCCTAGGGTAATAGCACAAATCATTGCATTTCTAGATTAAGATATGAACGAGTGACGAGGAAGGTAACAAAATGAGAAAATACCTTCAAATCATCTGACACAGAATATGCTCCAAGGTATCCCAACCTGACAATGTAATCATGTTAGAAATGTGTTTACCACCTCCATTCATCAATTCACAAGACTGTTAAACACACACATATCTCAAGTTACTCCTAAAGCACACAGCTGGCTAAATAATACATACTTAACAAATTAGAAAGTCAATATTTGTAGATTGTTTGAGTTCTATTAAAAGGTTGGATTTTAATTTTAAATGATAGGCTTCAGATCAAAACACAGAATAAAATCTCAACTCAGGCATTATGATAGCAACATCCTGCTAGAATTTTACCTGGATTATCATACTGATATTCAAATATGCACAATGTTCTAGGTACTATAAACCTATATTGATCCAACTGTTTAATAACAGATTTATTGAGATATAATTCACAAACCATAAAGTTTACCCTTTTAAACTGTACAGTTTGGTGGCTTTTACTATATTCACAAAGTTGTATACTGACCATTACTATCTAATTCAAAAATATAATCATTGCTCCAAAAAGAAACCCCATATGTATTAGAAGTCACTCTATTTCCCTAGCAATCACTAATCTATTTTCTCTCTATATAGATTTGCCTATTCTGAACATTTCAAATAAATAGAATCCTACAATGAGTGACCTTTTATCTGACTTCTTTCACTTAACATAATGTTTTCAAGATTCATCTACACTGTAGCATGAATCAGAACTTAATTCCTTTTTATGGTCAAATAATATTCCATTATATATTGGGTTAGCCAAAAAGTCTGTATGGGTTTTTTTTTTTTTGTAAAATAAGACACATTTTTCATTTTCACCAATAACTTTATTGATTTGGATATTTTGAGTATGTTGGCTACCTCCTACTATTGGCTTCTAGTGGGTAGAGGCCAGGGGCAGGGGCTGCTAAACATCTTCCAGTGCATAAGACAGCCCCCAGCAAAGAATTATTTGGCCAAAATGTCAATAGCACTAAGAAACTTCACACATCACGTTTGGCACATTCGATCAGCCACAGCACCTTCTCCATACACTGCACAAATCTTTTTTTTGCATTTCAGTTGTATTTTTACCTTTCTTGAAATAATAAAGCATAATATGCTGAGAATGTTATGTATCTTCTTCCATCATCCACATTAAAATGGCGGCACAAAAATTCGCCAATTTTGATGAGTTTTTTTAATGCATGCTGATATGACAGTCGCCACAATACAATCTAACAAAATTGTTTTAAATGAAGTGAAAAACAACCAAGCATATTAGAGCCGTTATGGGAAAAATCAGAGGTATATACCTCAATTGCAAATTAAACTTCTAGAACTTTAACTCCAAGATGCACAGTATGCCCCTATTAGTTACATTTTACCTTCCTGTCTCATTTCACTCTAACCAGCCAGCCATTCTTTTGAGATATATATATATATATATATATATATATATATATATATATATATATATATATCTGAATTGAGTACTATGCTAAGTAGGCCCCCAGGGTTTACAGATGAAAACAAGGTCCCTCCTCCAAGTAGCTCTTAGTCTAGTTAGCAAAAGCAGACTGAATAAAAACTTATAATAAAATATATACATATACGGATGTTATAAAAACAGAAAAGAGATACCTAAACAAGCCTGAGGGAGTAGAACATCAGGGAAGTCTTTCCAGAGGTGTCACCTAAGCAGTTAATAAAGTAAACAGGAAAGTTTCGCAAGTAGGCAGAATAGTAAGTAGTATGTATGCAGTCAAGGAAGAGTGAGAGGACACAGACCATTCAGGGAATCACATGCAGTTCACCACGGCTGGGGTATTAAGGGACAAGAGTTGAGGTGTGAAAGATCAGCAGAAGGTGAGTCATAAAAGACCTTAAATGTTGAAGAAGGGAGTTTGAATTTATCCTGAAAGCAGAAAGTCATAGAAGGCTTATAAACAGGGGCTTGACATCAGAATTCTATTTTAGAAAGAATGGTCTAAACCACAGAGGGTCAGAGAGGCTGGAGAGAAGGCCACTGCCATCATTCAGGCACTAAGAGGTTAGGCCCTGTTATAAGAGCATACAGATAGGGAGATTTTTAGAAAAGTATTATCTTTCAGGAAGATTTGGTAACTGAGTGGACTGGACATAAGGGAGATGGAAGACTAAGAACAGCCTGGACTGACCTGCCAACTAGGTGCAAGCTGGCCTGAGGAGCCAGGCGGATAGCAGGGCCATTCAGTGGGACAGGGAACAGATTTACAGGGGAAACGTGCAGTGCAGTGTTACACGCGTTGAGTTTGATGTACCTGTGATATATGCACAGTTGAGTATATGGGATCTGGAGCTCAAGGAAGGGGGAGGGGTGTCTCAACTGGAGATACACACTTGGCAGCCATGAGATGACTGAGTCAGGTGCAGACGAAATCACCTGGGGGGCACATAAAATGGAAAGAGGACTATGGATAGAAGCCTGGGGTTTTATCCAAAGATTTAATATCCAACAGTAAAAGGCTGGTAGAGGAGGAGTTGATGAAATAATCTAAAAAGGAAAACCCAGCGGAGTAGAAGGAAGTAGGAAGACTGCTTCCTAGAGAGAAGGAAGTGAGAAAACTGCAAATGCTACAGCAAAGTCAAGGAAGACAGGCATTAAAAAGTGTCCACAGGGGTTGGCAGTAAGGAGGTCAGAGGCGACCCTGGTAAACACAGTTGCAGTGGAGCAGAGCAGACAGAAGCCACTCTAGCATGGGAAGTGATGAAGCAGAAATAGGAGTTCTAAGGGCAGTAGTTGGTTGGGAAGGGGAAGAAATGAGGATGAGGGATCTTCTAGTCAACTTAAGAGCCACCCATTTTTGTAGGTGAGCAGCAATGGTTAAATGATGATCAGTACAATGACATCGGCTTAAAAAAAATCTAACAAAGGTTCAGCCTTAAAATAAGTGAAAGATACACCTTAAAAATATCTCACCTACAAAAAACAAAATTAAAAACTGACAACTGGGTATCCGCTGTGTTTGATAAATAAACATAACTTGGTAGACAAAAGGCAATTCTGCCTATATGATATAGTAATAGCTTTTTTTTCTACTACCCCACAAGAGCTCTTAAGAGGCTCAGTAAAAGTTGTCCCTTTATATATGTGCATAAGTCATGCTACAACACTATAAACACTAATAACAGCTGCAGAAATTTTTCCCATGTTCTCAAGCCTGACTCTGTGAGGAAAAGTACCCAATGCTGAAACGTCACTGGGTGCCCTGAGGAAAGCTCAGCCCTTGGAAAAATCTGAGACATAAACCTTGGCAGGTAAAACATCAGCAAGGAGAATAATTACTTAGCTTGGGGAAAAAAAAATCAAGATCCTTTCATTACAGCATCAGACATCTAAAAAGTTGGAATTTTTTTTTTTGGAATAAAGTTGACAGATCAAGTTAATTTGGGTTCTGTGAAAGGTCAAATCCTCATCATGGAGTTAAAGCAATTCTCAGTAAAGAGAACCTACACAAACAGAGTGCTTTGTTAAGGGGACAAGGCAGAAACTTCTAGCCTCCTACACAGGCAGAGGCACAAAAATTATTAATATCATGAAATGTAAAATGAGCACTAACAGTCAACAAAGAATATAATCTCCACAAGATAGCTTTCACAAAACAGAGAGGCCCCACCCTTTTTATACATTCCTGACCCTCTTATGCTAGAAACTCTCCCAGGGATAAAGAATCCAGTATCACCCAAAGGCTCCGCCACTGTATGAGGCACAGTCAGTGGAAATGGGTTTTCTACTGGATTCCAGCCCGTTCTTTCGGCTTATGAAACTACAAGCCTCTGCTAGTCAAAAATAGGGAAGGTACATCACTGGGGTATTAAGTGTGGCCAAAATTGATAAAATTTGCACATATTAAAAAGTATATGTATCTATATATTTGTGTGTATATATATAATATTTATCTAATTCATGAGAATGCTGTTAGATTCTGTCTTAAAAGTTCATTGAAATTCAAGACAGGTAAAACAGTCAAGGCTTTTGCTGACCTCTGGTTAGTTTTACATGTGTTTATTCCTCTATTTGTCTCCTTCAGGTACTCCAAACTTTATCTTCCTCAAGTCCTCAATCTCACTGCCTCTATCCTGAGCAGCTGGAGGCCATTCAATATAAGCTGCCTCAAGTCCAAGCCTTTCCATCTCAATTTGAGCTCATCTCTCTTGAGCTCCCTCTTGGGAAAGATCAACCCCTTTTCCAAGAAAACCCTTTCACCTGGGACCTTGAGCCAATACCATCTGAACTGTCACTGCAAATATCAGTACATGTGCTGCCAAAGTGTGTGCTGTCACTGCAAATATCATTTGATACTCATAACCTTATGAAAGACATACTATTATAAATCTCTCGGTCATTATTTGCTTATCTATAAAATAGGGATAAATGACTTGCCCGAAATTATTTAGCATTAAATGACAAAGACAGAAAACCCAGAAATCTGGGTTTTCTCTTTCTAAAGGCACTATAATTTTCTAACCATCTCCCCACTCTCACATCAGCACTAACTTCTCCAGTGGTTTAGGTCTCCATTCTCTCATAGCCCTCCCTCACAATCCACCTCCAAATCCCCTATAAGTTTAGCCCTGGCTGGGTAACTCAGTTGGTTAGAGTATCCTCCCAATACACCAAGGTTGTGAGTTTGATTCTCAGTCAGGGCACATACAAGAGTCAACTAATGAATGCATAAATAAGGGGAACAACAAATTGATGTCTATGTCTCTGTCTCTGTCTCTGTCTCTGTCTCTGTCTCTGTCTCTCTCTCTCCCCCTCCCTCCCTTCCTGTCTCTCTAAAATCAATAAATAAAAAATTTTAAAAACCCTACAACTTTAAGTATTATTTCCCTACATATTTTTATCTCATGAAATTTACTACAGTATGGTGTAGGAGTAAAAGCAAAAGTTTGGAATCAGAAAGATGTATGAATTCTGGTTCCATCAAGTTCTAGTCTGTGACCACAAGGTAAATAATCTCTCAGTTAAGCTGAGTTTCCTCAAATGTAGTTGATCACAATACTAATCTGTTTTGTCTTCACAGTTATGTTTTACTGTTTTGACAGGAGGCAATGTGGCTAGGGACTAAGAATGATGCTTTTTGAGCCAGACTGATGGGGTTTGAATCCTGGCTCAATACTTACAAGTTCTATGACTTCAGACAGGTCATTTATCCTTTCTGTGCCCCAATTTCCTCATCTGTAAAATGGGGAAGATAGTACCTATCTCACAGGGTTGTTATGAGGTGTGAATGAAGTGATACTCGGACAGCATCGAGCAGTGTCTAACACATTGTAATGTTCAATAAACATTATCTATTAAGTTACTAGATTATAAGTGCTTTGTGGCTTACAATCTAGTAAATGCTAGGAATAATGAAAAATCTAAGAATAATGACTCACATCTGTATTTCCAAAAACTCGCTCATGCATCAAAAGCACTTAATAAAGTTATTAATCACACTAATTAAGCATAGGACTGTGGATGCTGTAAGTTTAAGGCAAAACAAATTCTTCCCTGTCTTGCTTTTCATACCATCTGTAAGTGCACTGCAGTGAGTGAGCCCTTCTCAGACCCAACTGACTACCCTGATAATTTTCATTTCCTTCATCTCACTTTTAAGCTTTTTAAGCAAACTAGCCCCATCAACAAAATACTTAGGTGCTTTGACATGGTAGGAACTAACCACATTGTCAATTTAATATTTTTTACCCTTGCTTTTCAAAAAGGTAAAGGAGACACTTATATTAAAAAGCATCCCCCAGGATTTATGTAGCTAAATGAACATCACAGAAATAAAATCATCAGTGGGCTGAATCTTAGAGGTCTGGACATTCCCAGAGTAAGAAGCCTTTTCACCTGAAAGTCAAGCTGAAAAATAAAGGTCTTAAAATCATATATTATAATAATAGCCAGGGTAGTATAAGAGTCATAAGAAAAATAAATGGCAGGCAGTGATTGGGATTAGAAAATGTCAATTTCCATGGCATTGAAACTACTTTGACTCAATGTCATCTATTCTCACACTGGACCTAGGAGTTAAGAGGCTGTTCGTCCATAGCCCCCACTGCCCCTACTAAGAAAATGGGACAGGCTAATGAATGCCAAGTTGTGACAAATCAACCACTCTTCCACTTTATATTCCACAAGAGATACTCTGTTTTTCCTTCACAAAATGCTAACACTAAGGTAGTTATTATTTTTTATTAACTTAGAAACATCAGAAAATACAATTCGTAATCCTACTTTTCAACTTCAACTGAAGAAGTAGGTGAGGTTAATGATATCAACTGCCAAAGAGCAAATATGTTCAGGGCAATTCTAAGTCTCTATTTGATTTTTTTTTAAATTAATGTTTGTGCCCTGGCTGGTGTGCTTGGTGGATTGAGCGCAAGCCTGTGAGCCAAAGGGTAGCCAGTATGATTCCCAGTTGGGGCACATGCCTGGCCAGTTGCAGGCCAGATCCCCAGTAGGGGGCATGTGAGAGGCAACCACACATTGATGTTTCACTCCCTCTCTTTCTCCCTTCTCTACTCTCTCTCTAAAAATAAATAAAATTTTAAAAAAATAACATTTGCCTCTTAACTTATAAGACTGAGCAATTAGAAGAACTGTTCCAAGCCTAACCTGAGAAAATGCAGTTACAATAGCAATATTCATAGTATCACAGCTATCATTTATTGAGTATTTACTTAGGAGTCAGGTACTAAGCTAAAAACATTTCTTCATCACAATAACCCTACTATCATTGTTCCCAATTTATAGATGATTATGTAGGAGGTCAAGGGGCTTGCCTAAGATCACACAGAGCTATTGGAACAGTGAGACAGGAACCCAAGCCTGACTCTAAAGCAGGGGTTGGCAAACTATGGTGATGGTCTGATTTTATATGGCTCAAGAGCTAAGAACAATTTTTATGTTCTTAAAGGTTTGTCCAAAGAAAAGACAAAGCAAAGAAGAATGTGCAACAGAGACACAGAGACCTATGTGACCCACAGAGTTGACAATACTTACTATCTGGCCCTTTACAGAAAAGAAATTTGCAGACCTCTGGTCTAAAGCCTTGCACCTTTAACCCGTATGTCATACTATCTCTCACTACAGCAAAGAGGTTTCTGTGATAGGTTCCTTACGTTAACACCATAATACTCATTTGGCATTTAACAGAATGTAAGATGCGATTATTTTCTTTATATGACCTGTCTACCTAAGAAGACTAAGTTCCTTGGAGGCAGAGATCTTATATCTATTTGTATTTTCTGTGCATAAAACATAGTAGGCTCATTAGGAAACATTTGTTGAGGATGGTAGGTAAATCACACACACTGTTTTCCGTAGAAATTACATAGAGATGCACATAGCTACCCAGCCAATTTAGCTTAAGGGGTGCTACAAATAAAATGCAAAAAAATATGAAATATGAAAACCATCTAAGATGTCTAAACATTAAGAATCCTAGGGAGAAGAGATATTTTGCACACCAGCTCAGAATTGTATTGCCTTACAAATGAAAAATAAGCCTGAGTTCACGCACAGTCCTGATGCACACAACTATCTTTCCTTGCTACCCTGGAGATGCACATTCCAGAAGTCTGTATTTTCTGGAAAAGGGGGGGGGTGCGTGGGGAAATATCTTTCTGTGCCAAGGCTTTTTCCACCTATCTGCAAGTCTGAGAAACAAAGCTCAACAAGCTCATCAGTTTAAGCCTGTTCCAAATGAAGATAATCTTCACCCATGTACTGCACAGAAAGAACTGTTTGTCCTCCAGAATCTCTTCAGCCATATCCACACTCACAGGCATTTTAGATTAAGATAGTCAGCAGTATGTATTTTTTCCTCTTATGACACCCCAGCACAGGCCAAAATGCTTCTGAGCTCATGGTTTTATTTGCCCAGCTCCCCTTATGACCCAAAATTATAAGTAAATAAATAAATAACCTAAAAAAATACCCTATACCAAGACACAAGAACTGAAGCCATTTACTCAATGATCTGTCAATAACCGTGTGCCACCAGCAAGTCATAGTGCATATGTGTGGTGTTCCTAATTACTGCTTGGCTGAACCGTCCTTATCATTGTATAGTACAACACACTGCTGGAAGATACTTTAACTCTTCCTTTTCCTCTCCTCGGTACGCTTGAATTGGAAGGGTCAACCATATGTATATGCATATCAGATTTTACAAACATGGCACAATACACCAGAACGTCATTAACAATGCCTAAGCCTTTTCCTTAGCTTCTTTCACGTTCGGGTTTTTCCTTAGGCTACACGGGAGTAAGGTCTTCATTCTCCACCACGAAAGGACAGGGCATAGCAAAAAATGGGTGATGGGTAAAGGTGGACTCTGGCTCCAAAAGAACACCAGGTTCTGAGCAGGAGAGATACTACTGCAGCTTAAATGGACCCTAAACAAACTGACACCCCTGAGAAATAGATCGCTATGCTGTCTTCCCTTCCCCCCGTCTTCAGCCCAATCCGAGACACCGCACCCACTCCCTTTCCGTCCTCAGTCCAGGGTCCCAAGCTTGGAAGGCAGAGGGGTGCAGAAGGAAAAGGGGGTGGGGTCAGAGGGGAAAAAGGTGTGGACAGGCAGAAGAAAGGCCGGTGAGAGGAAGGCAAAATGGGGTACGAGGCTGAGGTGGACATGGGATGAGGCAGAGAAACAGGGAGAGTAGCAGAAAGAAGGGAGGCGAAGAAGAGGCACAAAATGAAAGGATCAGAAGAACTCAAGGTAGGCCTGGCAAAGCCAGGAGAGGAGACCAAGCAGCCTGCAGGCAGAGGAAGGGGGAGCGCCAGAGTCGGACGTGGGGGTGAGGCACTTGCCATAAATCATAGCCAGGCCGGTTTCGTGAAGGAAGCGGGCCCGGCGGTGCTTGAACAGCCAGATGGTAAGAATGGTGAGGGTGAGCAGCAAGATGAAGATGAGCAGATTGGCGCTGTCCTGCCGGTGACTCTCCTCTGCTTGCTTCTCGGACACGATCTCCTCGTCCATGGCTCTCGTTGCACCGCCAGCGCCGTCCGAAGCCCCGGCCCAGCCAAAGACGCCCACTGCAAGGAGCAACCAGAGCGGCCGCCTGAGCCTGTGGGCTCGGGGTCCACCGCCGCCGCCGCCAGTGCCGCGGCGGAGGGTCGACCTCAGCCAGCCGCGCGGAGCCATGATTCCCCCCCGCCCCCTACCCCGCTCTTCACCCGGCACCGCCCGCGGTCGGACCACGCCCCTAGGGCTCACGGGGAAGGAGGCGGGGCACCGGAGAAGCCGGTGGAGTGCGCGCGCCTCCGCTGCCGCCACCGCCCCGCCCGCTCTTAAAGGGACCGCAACATTCACGGTTCTCTCTGCCTGGACCTTTTGCCCTTCTGTCCGGCTCCTCGCCGGCTCCTCCTAGCACCCGACACACACTACTAGGGCGCTGCCAGGAGTTGAAAGGCCGTCGAATCTAGCTTACTGCCTTCTGGAAAAGAAAACTCTACTCAGCATGATCAAGTAGCGGTAGATTGTCCTAGGCCTACTTTGATCCTATTCCTAGCGCTCTCAAGGGGACTCCATCTTTCATAACCCATCCAGTATTGTCCCCCAGTGTCTCTTAACAGGATAAGAAGTTGTCCCCTTGGGAGTGGCCTAAATCTCCATCTCTTTAATTTAAATCGGATTTTCCAGTTCTGTCCTCAATGGGGAAAAAACAACGTTGTAGTACCCCATAAAAGAATGAGCTCAAAGGCAAGGATTATGCGTGTGTATGTTTGGATTTCTTTACAGGTAAACACCTGGTATAATTCATCTCTAACATGGGAACCTGTAGGGAGAAACTCATCAATCTCTTAAAGAAGGTTAATGCGGTTCGTGCTCAAATTTACCCATGCTCCAAACAATCCCCTTCCTAACACAACAAATCCTTTGTGGTGTGGCCTGGCCTCTCCCTCTTGCCTTGCTCCTATTTCCTGCTGTCTTTTTTAAAAAATTAATTAAATTAATTTATTTATTTTTCAATTACATATACATTCAATATTATTTTGTATTACTTTCAAAAGTGGTTATGTTGATGGGAGAGACCTGGTTCTTCTTACTGACACCCGTAAAGAATGACAGATCAGCAAATCTATTAGCATACAATCAGAGTTTATTAGTGACCCATTCCCATGGAAGAGAATGGGACTAGCTAAGGTGGGGGTGTGAAAGGCATGGATAAGTTCAGGGCAAAGCAGGGCAGCAAAAGCAAGGGCAGATGAAGGCCAGGATGGCAAGTCCCCAGGTGGCCTGAGGCCAAGAGAGCCAAGAGAATGAGTCCTTTGTTCTGATGACTTATATAGTTGACGGGATGGGAGTAAAAAAGTTACATATTGAGTGTTGAGTAAATGTGGTAAACAGTTTTCCCAGGGGGACAGGACTACCCAAACTTAGGTATGTGTGGAGGTCTGTTAACCTGAATCCTTATCTTGCTCCAGACCCCATTTGTTCTTGTTATAAAACAGAAACGTGACAAAAGGCAGTTAATTAAAGTTGGGGCAGTTATCCAAAGTTATTCATGGGTAAATAACTTCTTTGGGCCTTGTGGACCTTCTCCTGCATTTCAGGCCTTGGGATGAAAGCACAGTTTCAAGGCCTTCTTTCCCAGATAGTGGAAATGCTACATAGAATTTCAAAGACTTCCCTCCTCCCATGCTTACATAGTTTTTCTTGTGATGTTGGAACACCTGGCAATATTACAGACCAGGCTCAGGACTGCCCAGTTAGTAGGTGAGACATATCTTCCCTCCTCTTCCCTGCCTTGGTTTGCTATTCTTTCTACTTAAGTGATAAAAGGGGTTTCCTGGCAACCAGGTTGCTGGACGCTGGCCAGTAACAGCAGTGCAGTGTCAGAGTTCTTCCTGTGCTGTCTCCTGCATCAATTAGACAATCATATACTTTACAAAGTGTTCCCCCAATATTTCCAGTGCCCACCTGGCATCATACATACTTATTATATGACCAACTATATTTTTTATGCTCTACTTTACATCCCCATGACTATTTCATAACTACCAATCTGTAATTTTCCATCTCTTTACTTTTTTCACGCAGGCCCCAAGACCCCCTCCCCTCTGGCAATCATCAGTTTGTTCTCTGATCTGAGTCTGTGTCTGTCTGGTTTGTTCATTTACATTGCTCTTTACATTCCACATACAAGTTAAATCTTATGGTATTTGTCTTTCACTGCCTGGCTTATTTAATTGCCCTAATACCCTCTAGATTCACCCATGCTTTTTCAAATGGTAAGATTTCATTTTTTATGGCCAAGTAATAGTCTACTGTATACATGTACCAATATTTTTTATCCGTTCTTCTATTGATGGGCACTTGGTTGCTTCCACAGTTTGGCTATTGCAAACAACACTGCAATGAACATGGGGTGCATATATTCTTTTGAATTAGAGTTTGGGGTAGTTCTTAGGATATATACCCAGGAGTGGAATCACTAGGCCATGAGGCAGTTCCATTTTTAATTTTTAGAGAAACTTCCATACTGTTTTCCATAGAGAGTTCACCAATCTGAATTCCCACCAGTGTACAAGTGCCTTTTCTCCACATCGTTGCCAGCATTTATTGTCTGTTGATTTATTAATGATACCATTCTGACAAGTGTGAGGTGATATCTGATTGTGGTTTTAATTTGCATTTCTCTCATGATTAGTGACATTGAACATCTTTGCATGCTTATTGACTGTCTGTATGTCCTTTTTGGAGAAGTGTCTATTCAGGTCCTTTGTGCATTTTTTATTGGATATTTGTGTTTTTGGTGTTGACTTCTATGAGTTTTTTATAAATTTTGGGTATGAACCCCTTATCAGATATAGCATTGGTAAATATGTTCTCCCATTCAGTGGGTTGTCTTGATCTTTTGTTGATGGTTTCTTTACTGTGCAAAAACTTTTTAGTTTGATGCAGTCCCGTTTGTTTATTTTTCTTTTATTTCCCTTGCCTGAGAAGATCTATCAGAAAAAAATATTACTAAGGGAAATGTTCAAGATTTTATGCCATGTCTTTTTCTGGGAGTTTTATGGTTTCAAGTCTTATTTGTAAATCTTTAATCCATGTTTTCCCAGTGGAAATCAATTTGTAATAACAAATTTATTTAAAAATTTCTTAAATGTGTCTGTTAGTATTATGCTATTATACTTCATATTCCATATATTCATTGTCTTTTACACATTCCCCTGCATCACTGGTGTTATGGAGCAGAGGAATTATTCTGGCGTAGGAGCCAGAAAACCTGAGTTCGAGCACTGGCTAGGAAAATCAGGTTAAGGTACTTTGGATGAATCTAATCCATAGGATTTCGTGAGTCTAGTGGAGGCACTAGTGGCATAATAGAAGAGAAAGCCCTTTTATAAACAGTGAACTACAAATGTGAGGGGTTTTCACTATCATACACAAGTAAGGAGGAGATTAAAACATCTTAAAGGCTCCTTCTCAGCTTTGACTGCTGCACTTCCCCCAGGTTTTATTTATTTTTTAAAGTATATTTTATTGATTGTGCTATTACAGTTTTCCCAATTTTCCCCCCTTTATTGTCCCTCTGCCCTGCACCCCCAACCCTCCATCATACCCCCTTAGTTCATGTCCATGGGTTGTACATATAAATTCTTCGAATTCTCTGTTTCCTATACCCTTCTTAACCTCTCATCATCTATTTTATGCCTACCAATTATGCTTCTTATTCCCTGTACCTTCCCCCCCCCACTCCTCCCTTCTCCCTCCCCACTGAAACCCCTCTCTGTGGTGTCCATTTCTCTGATTCTGTTCTGGTTCTAGTTGTTTGCTTAGCTTTTCTTTTCTGTTGTTTTTCTTTTTTAGGTTTAGTTGTTGATACTTGTGAGTTTGTTGTCATTTTACTGTTTATAGTTTTTGATCTTCTTCAATTTCTTAGATAAGTCCCTTTAACATTTCATATAGTAAGGGCTTGGTGATGATGAACTCCTTTAACTTGATCTTATCTGGGAAGCACTTGATCTGCCCTTCCATTCTAAATGAAAGCTTTGCTGGATAGAGTCATCTTGGATGTAGGTCCTTGCCTTTCATGACTTTGAATACTTCTTTCTAGCCCCTTCTTGCCTGAAAAGCTTCTTTTGAGAAATCAACTAACAGTCTTATGGGCACTTCTTTGTAGGTAACTGTCTTCTTTCCTCTTGCTGCTTTTAAGATTCTCTCTTTATCTTTAATCTTGGGTAACTTAATGATGATGTGCCTTGGCGTGTTCCTCTTTGGGTCCAACTTCTTTGGGACTCTCTGGGCTTCCTGGACTTCCTGGAAGTCTATTTCCTTCACCAGATTAGGGAAGTTTTCCTTCATTATTTGTTCATATAATTTTCAGTTTCTCGTTCTTCTTCTTTTTCTTGCACCCCTATAATTCAGATATTGGGATGTTTAATGTTGTCCCAGAAGTTCCTAAGCCTCTCTTCTTTTTTTTTTTTTGAATTCTTGGTTCTTCATTCTGTTCTGGTTGGATGTTTATTTCTTCTTCCTTTTGTTCTAAATTGTTGATTTGAGTCCTGGTTTCCTTCCTGTCACTGTTGGTTCCCTGAATATTTTGCTTTATTTCACTTTGGGTAGCCTTCACTTGTTCTTTCATTTTGCGACCAAGCTCAATCAGTTCTGTGAGCATTTTGATTACCAGGGCTTTGGACTCTCCATCAGATAGGTTGGCTATCTCCTCATCACTTAACTCTCTTTCTGGAGTTTTGCTCTGTTCTTTCATTTGGGCCGTATTTCTTTGTCTTGATGCACCTGTTAGTTGTAAGGATGCGGAGCCTTAGGTATTCTCCAGGGCATGGCAACCCTCTTTGCTGTTTGTGGCACTGCTTGTGGGAGAGGGGCCAGAGAGGGAACAATGCAGCTCCCCTGCTCAGCTCTATCCCCACTTTCCAATGAACTCTTGTATGAGACTAGGAGTTTCTCCCACTGTGGCAACCTCTGTAGCCCACAGTCAGCTCTGAGTCTCAGTTTCCTGTTCAGTCAACTCCACTCTCGAGGTCCACCGCATTGCGGAGGGCTCTCTCTCTCCGCCTGTCCATCCACCCATCCGCTCGGTCTCCCTGATCTCACTCCTACAGATCTGGTTGTCTGGTTGACTGTTTCTTTAGTTCCTTGGTTGTCAGAGTTCCATGCAATTTGATTTTCTTGCACTTCTGGTTGTTTATTGATTTTAGATTGGTGGCTATCCTC